TGAAAAATCAAGTTCATAGAGCAGCGACCAGTAAAACTCGCTCCACAAGCGCTTTTGAATTGGTAGATACAATTAGAAGTGGTTAGTCTAGGTACTTCATCTATCAATCGGGGAATCACCGTCGGTCGTGTAGAAAACATGACTTGCAGTCTGCCAGCACTAAGAATTCTTTGAACAGATTTTCTGAACTTGTTAGTAATAATTCCACTAGGTGCGTCATCCTTGAATTGCAGTCGTATGTATAAAGGTTTCTTATTTACAGATGGAGAAAAGTCCTTTACCTCTTTCTTGGTTATGTGTTTCGTGATGAACTTTTCTGAATAGCTATTTTCAATTACGAAGTCATGCGCAATCCTTAGTTTATCCTCAGTTACCTCTTATGAGCATGTAGCTCTAACTCTGTGGCTAAGGGTACTTACTCCGTTTCAGCACTGATCAACAAAGACTTACCTGGTTGATCTGTTAGTGTACATCAAATATCTTCACACCTGCTTATCAGCCATATTTACTTATACTCGTTCAAAACTATGTTTTAACTAGTAGAATGAAAATTGGACGATTCAGCTATTCAAAATAGTCAACACTTTTCAGACTGATCTAATTCGACTTTTAATAATACGGCATAAATTCCGTCCACGATTGATTTTGTGCCTTAATTTATTTAAAAATGAAAACCAATTAGAAGTGCTAAGTATGTTGATTGATAATGATACACCAGCAGATGTTAGATACGTTAAACATATCTTTGTTCCTTTTGCATCTAATTCTTTTTAGTACATTTTAATACCTTTTGGTACCAATTATTTTAATTTTATTACACTGTTCCTGAAACTTGAACATATGAATTCTGTGAAAATTGTTACCTGTGGTTAATACAGACGATGCTTGTAGCGTAGAGGAGACTATAATAGAAACTAAGTCTAACACCAAAGATCTTGGTAAAGTTCTATCATCTGACCTTACCTGGTTATCCAATATTTCACCAATCTCCAAGATGATGTTCTGTCTAAGCTGTCACATTAGGAAGCTAAGACAATCTGGAGTCACTCAACCCCTGCTTTTACAATTTGCTGACTCGAGCATCTTACCTATTCTACTTTACTCCTCCCCCTAAGTCTTTCCTGAGCTAGTGAAAAAGGACTAAGTCATTTTGAGAAGGGTATTAAAGGTTATTAGTAAGGCAAGTAGTGTGCAACTTAGTCGGCTTGTCACTTCATTAGTTGAAAGACACTTAAAGTCATACGAGAAATGGTCTAATTCAATATTGTCTGATCCTCAACACTCCCTCTACTCTATACTCCCCCCGTTGTATCTCATTTAGTAGAACTAGAATTCAGTACAAAAGATTATATACTAGATTATATGCTATCAAGTATAGGAACTCAAGGATACCATATTTAGCCCGTGTTCCGTTCGATAGATACACTGTTAAGCAAGAATCATACGAATTACTATGTTGTTAGCAAAATAATTGGCTCTTTTATTACCACCCACTTGTAATCTATGGTAACACTATCTCAATTTAACTGACAATCTTAGCTACTAACCTTATTATTATCATTATTTACGACTTTTTTATTGTTGAATATATATGACTATACTGTCACAACAAATGCCTAATAAGAAATACCACCAATAATTCCCTAATATTATTGCTAAAATTGTTTTTAATGCTGTTCGATAAAACTGACTGATAGTCTTAAATATTAACGTCATTATCATTATTTTACAATTTTCTTTATGTTTATGTTCTTACTGTCACTACTAGTCCATGTAAGAACTACCATTATCATTCTTGTAATATTTATTATCTTTAATTTTTTACAAATATTATTTCGACAAAATGAGATGCATTACTATACCAAATGGTGAAATGTGCACGCTGTAACATTAGCACTGTTTTGGAATAAGTCAGATAATTATTATTCATATACCTCACTTGTTTTTAAATTTTAATCTTAGGCAAATTGATGATCAGTTTAAAAATGATAACTAATCTACACAAAATGATGATAATTTAACCAACATTAGATAGGAGATAAAGGATGATTTCTGTTTGTAACAGATGTTAAGAAAAAATTATTAGCTATGCCACAAGTGACTCGTTAAGTATTTTTAACACTTTATCAGCTGAACAGGTAACATATTTTACATTCTACTGAAGTGTGCATTTAACAGTTAGAAACATTTGCAATCTGCATGCATCCTCATGAGTGAAATAAAACGCAAGGATGATGGTGATCGATGCGTACCATGTTCATTGGTGTCTGAACGAAATAAAGTCTGAATCCTTTTTCAATTATCTATGTTGTTAGTAAAATTTTATTTACAGTAGCTAAAATTAAGCAGTGGTTGAATACAAGAAACCTTTTTTACCAATTGATTAGGCTGAACTTATTTATTTATTTACTCTATGACCAAAAGTTTCTTAAAACTCGACTCCAAAAGCTACTGAAAGTTATCTGATTTCGCTAAATTAGATTCTCTTAGGCAAGTTTTTTTTATTGTGTAGGCTTGTATAAATGATTCTTCCCTTGTCTTATTGATCAACTATGCGGGAGCATTAAATATATGCTAGTAATGAATTAACTCAAGTAGCTGAGTATTTATCAGCATGTGTTGTTCAATCTACTAGTTGCCTGCTTTATTTCTAGATTTTATTAAAATATATTCACTTGGTTAAACAGTTGTAGAAGTGCCTAAGCTTTTCGGTTGTGTAATTAAAATTCATTTAGGTATACAGATGATGAGCTTGCTGTAATTTGGTGCAAAATGCACCTCAGTGCTCAGCTCACTTTTTGAGTGTAACCAACAGAGAGTCCTAGCCTATAAAAATGGCTTTTTCTCTATTTAGTATTAATCATTTTGTCAGTAATTCTGTTGCATTAGTGCTGTAATATCATCAGAAAACAAACTGTGATACTACTTAACTTGTATATATATATATATATATATATATGACTTCATTTGAAACTATTCACTCTCTGTACATGTCAGTACTAATAATACCGTTTGAACTCGAATACATGCATTTACTTGTGAGAGGTACAGATAGTTTTAGCGTTGGAATAAGCGAATTTTGAGTTCAGTGCTGTTTTTCAAAGGCACAAGTATGACCTTTTATCCTTTATAGGTTTTAAACACAAATTTTCAGAAATGATAATTTCATTACTAATAAAATTGTGGTGAGAGCAGGCTGCTAGACAATTGGTTGACACTAATTTACGTCAACGTTTATGTCACTAATATTGGTCGTGAGAAAATATGAACAAGACTAATTCAACAACTAATCACAGCAGATTTTGCGTAGGCTGATACAGCTGACATATAGATGACCTGACATTCATGAAACAGTCACAATGAAATACAAGGTCAACTTTCTGTGAGAAACAACCAATCAGAAGACTGTGTTGTTTGCTTGAATAAGCTATAATAATCTACATGAAAAATATATAAATTCGTGTCGATTTCCTTAATAAATGATCCGCTGCCTGACTCTTGTCTTTTGTCGTTACAAAATAATTAAAAGAACCGAATTCAGAAAAAAAACATAAAAATATGCTACTCAGTTTTACTTAGGATGAAGTGAAAATGACATATTAAAAGGCCAGTCAGTCACATTCATACAACCTTTAACATTAGCTTACGACTGACCATTCTGTATCTAATATTCAGGGAGAACAAATGCGATTTCTTAGTAAACGAAGAGAAGATTTTCTTTCAGAGTTAACAGAAAAAAATACGCCGGGAAGGAAATGAGTATGTTATGCAGTAATTAATTTTCATTAAAAAAGGAAGGATGTCGATATTTCTGAGATAATAGAAGAAAAGAAGGAAAAACAACGAATAATGACTAACTGTGAATATATATGGATTTAAATGCACTTTTATAGGAAACTTTTGATGTGCGTCGGTGGCACAATGGTTAGGACTCTCGACGACCATGCACATGGTCCGGCGGTCGAGCCCACACCGGCGCACACCAGATATCTATGGTCGGCCTGCGAAATTTGGGCTACCGATATCCACGCTGAAAGTTCCATACTTGTACCAAAAATACAGTGTGGAATCAAGCTGTTGCCAAAAATAAAAAATAAATAAAAAAAATATAACTTCTTTGAGAATATTTTCAAGCTATTTCTTCTCGTTCTTCTTCCTGAATACTTAAATAATCATAAAAGCTAACTGAAATAGTGTGATATAATGAGATTAGCGCATATTTATCAAATGAACTGTTCTGTGGTGTCAGTTTTCATGACCATTAAGAGTGACTGCATATACAGAGCATCAATGAATATCTTTTATTGTGACTGGGTGAAGGATGAGTGAGATATGATGTAGATAATAATGGTCTTGAAAAAATTGAAGCCGAATCAACACATTTTGCCGTATTTTTCTAAACGGACATGTGCTTAAATAGTTAAGGCTGTATGCACTTGGACCGTTGTGCCTACGGTAGCCAGTAATCGAATTAGCTAACTGTCACTCCCCTCATGATTTTAATTTTTTGAAAAACAAATCCTGTGGTTGCTATTTTTCACCATCAGTTTCTGATTTTCACTACATTTCATTTCAGACTTCATTTATTTACTTTTTCGGGAGTTGTTATTATGCTATTGTATTGATTGTTTTCTAAGCTATAATTTGGTGTCTGTTTGAACACCTGTTTGTATTACTATGCCATCTTTACTATTCTTATCCTCATACATATATCTACATTTATTTATTTTGATCATTACTGTTGTTATTATTATTATTATCATCAGAATAGCCTGCTGTACAATACTCGTCCATGTGGTCATTCTTATTCTTAAGTTATAATGACTGGTTTAATATCCGATATTTTTAGACAAAAACTGTGTATCATAGAATAAAGCCTAAGGTGATCTAACTGAAAACAATTCTGTTTGTCTACACTTTTATTTCTGCATTCTTTCATTTTATATAACTTGAAAAGTGAACAAAGTTTTCTGTTTACCTATTTTAAAATACCAACACAGATGTTGAGTGAAGAAATACCACTTCATAAGAATTTAACCAAATCTCCTTTAAGCACTTCTCCTACTATCATAATGCATCCATACGATGAAAATCAATATAAGCAACTTCTTGCTTCTGGAAAAGTTAATAACTGCGACGAGCTTATGAAATGTGAATTGGATTTGTTTACTCGATTATTCCCGAATGTTTTCTGTCAAGCAAGTGGAGAAAAATGTAGTGAAATAACCTCAGAATCACGAGCGCTTGATAAAGACCCCTTAGAAGAGGATCAAGCAATTAAAGAAAACTTGAAGAAAATGAAAGATGTGCGCTTTGGTCAAATTCTGCGATTTGCTGAAAAGTATGGTTTTACTGAAGAAGGTAAATGTCATAAAGTGTCTCAATTTCATGATTAATATGTTTACGAGTTTGAACAAATCTAATTCCTACAAACCAACTCTTTAAAAATAAATAATATTACCAAGGATTTATTCTATTGTAATGCTGAAGCATAGCAACTTGTCAGCATAACATAATCTTCCTGTAATGGTACTTGTGTGTGACAACAATCGAAAGTAAGCTTAAGAAACTGTAATTCGGTAAATATGAATAAGTGAGCTCATCAAAGTAAACAAAATCCTTCATTCTACGCAAATAATTCAACTCCTTTCCTTGGATAATGAAACCGTCAACTCTGAGAATTAAAATTCCGTAAAGTACTTTCTTGAGAAAAAGAGATTTGAAGTGTCTGTGTACGGCATCGAAGCACTAAGAGTTCTATATTTATTCACTACCGACTAAAGGAAATAGAATGTGTTGTTTAGTGTTATAACTCCTCTCCCCTGTCCTGTGTGACGTATTGTTCCATATATGGCTGAACAGTCAGTCATTCAATAACTGTATCAAACAATATACTGAGTCATATATGGATTTACATGTATTTTCTGAAAGTCTGTGAGTAGGAAGATAGTCAGTCATCAAAATAAAGTGCATGGTGCTTGTAGAAGACATTAGTAACCGATGAATTCCGATCACGTAAGCAGTTGTATTTGCATCATAAATGTAATTTTATTCAACCTGACGAAAATAGACGTATTTTTAATTTGGCTATCACCTGCCTAACGAAAAGACCGCTGAAAATATAAATGAACTTGCTTTCTACTTCTGTTTATCTAAATACTGTCATAATAACCATTATCTTACTTAGATTGAAACTTTACTTCATTTTCTTTGAACTGCTCATATTTTTCCAGAATTTAAGCATTACTTTAACAAACTTCAGTTAGAGGGCTTAGATGTATGGAGATTGTATTCAGCAGGAAAGAAATTCCAACAATCTTTAGAAGTGATGCAGCCGTTAGGATTATCCTGTGGAACACTAGCAGAAAACCCAGTCAGCAATGTATTAGTTCAATCATTTGGTGATGATTGCAAGAAAGATAAAAAAATGATGATCAAATTACACCGAGAGTAATTCCACTCGATGATCCTTACCTACTGTATGAAAGTTTAGCAAACTTATTTATTAAAATTGAATACGAAATCAGTCAATTGTCAAAATCTTCCACAGAAAAAGAGGGCAGTCAAGAACAACAATCTTCTTCAACTGCATCCTTTTCAGTTAATTCTTCAATGTCATCATTGTTTCCTAAGAGGCGTAGCCGGTCTGTTTCATCAGCATCTTCATCAGTAAACCAGAGATCTTCAACATCATCTAGACAGAGCAATAGTACTAGAACAAGTAAGAAATATAATATTACACAAGAACCAATAATATTGTTGGTATATTAATTATTATAATGAATTCTATTGGAATATAGATCTAAATTATAAGACTATAAGATAAATGAGAAATAACAGTCTCTGCATTATTGGCATAAGTATAAAACTGGGGCACTGTGGTAGAGTATAACACCATTATTGATAAGATTATATTTTGACAAAATTACATAATGTTGTACCGGGATATTTACTGATGACGTTTCGAGCACAATTTATTGCTCATAATCATATCAAGGTACTGACACAACTTTTTGGCTTCATTTACATACCCGAGTAATGCCCATAATGGAACAGTTTCTACAGTATGATCAGCGTATTGTGATGCTGAACAGTTGTGTTGACCATCATAAAGTAGAAGTATTGGTTAATTCGCTCATCTCATGTTATATTTAAATCCACTTAAGAGTAGTATGAATTAAGCCCTAAGCTTGCTTATATCCTGTTTTGGTCATTCCTCAAAGCCAGACCAATCTCAGGAATACAGAACCATCAGATATATACTCCAAAACACCATCTGTGTTCCAGTCAAATATACAGTCTTCAAAGGAAATTTTAATTTCATCTGCTGTTCTAAAAACAAGCTTGCTGGAAAACGAGAAGGATATTCAAGACTAAATTTAAGTTCATCCTAATAAAAAAGTCTATATGAGTTTCAGAATTAAGAGAAGCTATATTTCTGTAGTATGAGAGATGGCTGATAAATTCCTAAGTACCAATCTGTCAGTTTAACTAACTTCAGTAGTTCATTGTAGATATACATACTGAGATGTGAGCCACACTGGACTGTATAAAAGCTAAATACAACAGCCTGTTAAGAGAGCCAAAGAAGGCAAATTGGCAGTTAAATCCTAATTGTATTACATGAAGGCTGAATATATACGCCACTGATACAGTGATTTACCCATACTTCAAGTAAAGTAAATCTAATAGACATTATCTGCCCAAGAGACCACATGCTAACAGAAACCCACCAATCTGGTTGAGGTGAATCGAGGACGCTAAGTTATAGGTGAAATAAATAGTTTAAATGATACTCATTGCGAATGGCGTAGCTCTTGGGTGTAACTGTTCTGATGGAACAATGGGTACTGGGTTTCATTCTTGATGTGATTGCCATCACTTGTTGGTAGGTGGACACATCTCAACAACAAACCTACAAATAAGCACAAAATGCACCTGAATTTTACTTTTAAGCACCAAGATTTGTCAAAAAAAGGTGTATGTTGATGTTTGTTTGCTGACATTTCGATAGAAGATTTGTTTAGCTGAATATACTACTTATGTTACCAAACTTTTAGCTTACTCAAACTCTATTTTACTATATAACTTGTCTCATAGTCACAACTTATGAGCTGTATAAAAACCAATGCGGAAGTGAATCTGTCTATTTCTTTGCATTTTAGAAAGCGAAACACGTAAATCTCAAACGTCAACTGAAACAGGCACTGAATCAAAGTCAACTACAGGTAGACGAAGTTCATCAGCAGTTCACTTTGATTTACCGTCAGCAAACAATAAAGGTATAAACTGTGAAATCAAAGAAAAGAAGAATAGATTTAGTAAGCTCACCTTGTTTGCTCAGGAGTTACAGGAGTTATTAAAACAACTGCAAGACAATAATCAGATAATAATGGTTTCTGGTGATGAGAAAGAGAAGTTCAGTCCGATAGATTCAAGCGCAACGTGCACTGTAATGTCAGAGAACTTTGGCACACTGGTAGAAGAAGCAAGAAATATACATTTAAATGAGTGGTGTATAGAAGAGAGGTTAGACCCGCATATACTACTCCAGGTAAGGGAACGTGAAAACAATTTTTTTCTCTCATCTGAACAAGTTAGAAGTTGTGGTTCAAACGGGTTACTATTTGGATTATTACTAATGTTACTAATGGCAATAATAATTGTTGTTACTACTATTAACATGATAACTATTATCCATTCCTTCCCTTCCGATTGGAACATATACCCTCAGTCACACATCTCTCTAGGGTGTTGAGTTCTTTGACATAGCTTTCAGTTGGCTCCACAAATGCCCACAAACTTTCTGTTCCTATGTACATAATTGTCTCCATGTCATTCTTAAACGCCCAATTCGCCCCTTCCCATTTGGGTTCCTCTCCACGACACGCAGAAGAATGTCATTCAGCGGTCTAGTTAGTTTCTAGAGTTTCATGTTGCTGATTCTTCCCAAACAGCCATTCAATCCTCAACTGTGAGAGGAAGCATCTAGTAATAAAAGTCTTCAACCTTCTGAGAATGCTTTTCGTGACAAATGCATCGAGTTCCTGAATATTGTAAAAGCACTAACTCGGCATTAATTTAGAAAAATTCGGATATTCCTAATTTATAGATCTCCATACTGACTTCACGGTAGTGAATGTATGTCTTGCTTTCTTCGCTCTGCCTCTGACATCCTCATCCATGCCTTAATATTTGAAAGTAGCTCCTAAAATGTCATTTATAAGGATTACTTCAGGTTGCTATAGAAATTCTGAAAAATAATAGTTTTTTGTGACTTTTCGGAAGTCGCATCTCGTAAATTAAAAAGTGGAATAAACGTTAATTAATTTCATCTTACTATTGCAATTCTAGATTTGTTTACAGTGAATTTTCAAATTATTCACATAGTTGCTTCATGCTTCACTAATGTCAGACATTCTATTTGGTTACTTTTAAATACTGACTTTGAGCCTGACTAAGGTTAAGGCCGAAAATGTTTGCTGATATTTATAAAATGCCATTCAAAGGTTAACTGGCGAATCCCTAGGCTGTTGGTGTAAATTCTTCTTTTCTTAATGACTTTAAAATTCATGAGTAGCATTTTATATAGAGAAATCTAATATAAGCGTCGAAGTACCAATATCATATCTGAAGGAATTGTTGCTGAGATGCACGCTGAATGTGCAATTCACCTGCAACGGCGACATCTACAGAGAGAAAGATGGAATTGCAATGGGATCTCCTCTTGGCCCGCTTTTAGCAGACTGCTTTATGGCCATTTTGGAGAGGAGAGTTTTAAAAACAACAATAAACAAATTACTACTGTACAAAAGGTACGTTGACGATACCTTTATAGTCTGCTACGATAACTCGGACCTCAACCGCATCTTAAAAAAATTTAATAATTCCCATCCTTCGATTAAATTCACAGTGGAATTAGAAAACGATTCAAAGATTCCATTTCTCGACGTGGAATTGACAAGAAGAGATGATGAAACCCTGAAGAGGTCCATCCACAAAAAACCGACATGGAACAGCCAACTAACGCATTTCTATAGCTGGATACCTTTGAGCCGAAAATGAGCTCTCATCAGCGCACTAACTCATCGTATTAGAAAAATCTGCAGCAGCGACTGCTTGGAAGAGGACCTCCTATCCCTCAAAAATATCCTGGCTCAAAATGGCTACCCGACACATTTTGACGAAAAGAACATGAAACCTAGACCAAAAAGAGAAGAATGCGATTCAGCGCCAAAGAAAACGCTGTATCTAAATCTGAATTTCAAGGGAGATTTGGCAGCTGATATCCTGAAGAGGAGAATATCCAGCTCTTTAAAGAAGACCTCCCCTGCAGCAACACTAAGAGTGACATTCTCTAGCCGTCCAGTACTTCGAAACAACACAAAGGACAAACTCTCGCATATGACCAATTCAATGTGCATATACCAGTTCACCTGCTCGTGAGGAGCTAGGTACATAGGTCGTTGTATGAGCGTCCTTTCAAAACGTGTTAGAGAACACTATCCAGCGTGGCTGCAAAGAGGAGGCACCGGTTCAATCAGAAGTGCCATTACTGAATATATGGTCAACACCTCCCACAACATATAAACTGATTCTTTCAAAGTGATTTACAAAGTCAACAGAAACCTACCAAAAGCAGTATCTTTCTGACTTCTTTGTCCTGCAGAAGCCCTCGCAATATGCATCGAAAAGCCGGAGCTGTGTGTTCAAAAGAGATGAGTCCAACCTCTACAACTACCATGGACCTAGTTTGGTATGTTCCCTTTGCTTCCGTTTTTTTCTTTTCTTCTCCGTCTTTTTTAGTTATCTTTTTTCCTTTTGGGCATTTTTCGTTCACCGTGTGTCTGATCCTTATTCCCTCAGTCTTCATTAAATTCACCTAATTTTTTCAGTTATAAAAACAGTTATTTTAAGTTTGTTTCCATGCTCCTCCTGATCACACTTGTAATCCGTTTAGAATAACAATTTTACAACTATATTCTAATCCTGTGCAATTTTTTGTTTCTATGCCTCTTGTAATCTATATTCACAGCTCCTAACTAACATTTCAAGTTGAAAATTTTGATTTCAATTTGTTTCCATGCTCATTTTGTTCACACCTGTTACTCGTTCTATTGCTGCGTTTCTAAGCCTCTTGTAATTCATATCAAGTTGAAAATAATTATCACCTTTTATTCGCATTTGTAATTATTTCTCCAGTTATCAAATATTAATTTTGCATACGTTGTAACTATTTTCTAATCCTATGAAATCTTGTCTCTAAGCCCCTTGTAATCTATATTCGTACCTTCAAACTTTCATATCAGGTTGAAAATTATTATCACCTTCGTTACTATATGGAATTAAACAAATAAGAATTGTATCCATGTAAACGGATGTTTATAAATGCGATTGTACAGTTTTGAGAATGAAATCGCCGAACTTGCTGAACTACGTGTTCTCTTCTTTCTAATGTCCTTATGGGTGTTTTCCACGAACTGAGTAGCATTTTAAACAAGTTGTATGCGCGAAGACATTTCGTCTCATAGAAATTCCAGAGAAACTCATAAAAATATATGCCTTCATTTCCCTTCAAATATTATTAGTTAATCTTTTGCTCCCCAATATCCTTATTTCGATTTTAGAAATAAGAATGTTTGAAAATCCACCTTTCCTAGTGTATAGTAAACTCTTATTGTTCTAAACGTCTGAGATTTTAATTATGAAAACATGAACGAAAGATCGAGTTATAATAGACAGTTTATCGACTCACTACACTCACAATTCATTGTTTCTCTATTATATTACACTGTCTCTTTTTTAAAAATCAAGTGCTATATATCTCCAAATTACTATTATTGATGCTTTAAAGAAATGTTCAAACATATCATTTTAGAGACTGCATTTCTTAAATTATGAAAGTCCTCATCTGGATGTCTATAAACGTCGCCACGATGAAAGTTATTGATTGTATCACATCATCCGTTTGACAGATCTATCCGTTCAAACCATCACACATGGTCTAGTTGGTTCCATGTTAATGGGATAGGCTTTCGACCTTATCTACAATTGATTGAATCACATATTAGAAACTGGACAAGAGAACAAGAGGCACTTTATGAAGCAGCTAAGCTAAGTGCTGAAATCTTACAAGATGATACAAGAGTAAGTTTTGATTCACCAGCGTGTCTGGAAGAAGTAATTAACTTCAGAATGCATTTTAACAACATCATTATTATAAATAAGAAAGTTTGACAAAGTGTTTTCTGAATTTATTCTCCTCTTTATCTGTAAGTTACTATGTAGAGAGTTATCTTAAAATACCTTCATTTTGAATCATATTCAGAATTCATCAGCGATTTTCATTTTCAGAAAACAAAGTAGATACAAGTAAGCAATCCATTGTGACCTTTCACATAAAAGAGAGGGAAATTAATTTCATTCCAAGTTAAAACTGAATACAAGCGACAGAGAGTTTGATTTTGCACTCAGTTTTGTCTGAAAATGAATACGCATGCAACCGTAACATATGTGAATAATTACCATGATTAGTAGCAAACTACAAACTAAAATATTTTCGTTGTTACTTAAAGTGATTAATCTAGAGAAATATTCGCTTAGATGCACTATATAGTTTCTCACTGGATTTTTCGTTTCAATAGTATAATTAGATGAAATATACTCAATAAATTTCGTCTGCTTGGAAATGAAATTATAGTTATTAAGATTTTTTTCATTAAAACAGAAATCAACAGAAATTCAACCAGTTAATCAGATCTAGTTTGGTTACTAATTTAACCAAGTCTGGTTACAGGATTTCATCATGAGCTGACATTGGTTAGAGAACCATTGGAAAACCAACTAGGAGTACTGGACAGCCGTTTCGTCTTAGTCTGGGACTCTTCAGCAGTATGCACCACCTGGGATTCAAACCCAGGACCTTCTGGTTACAAGACGAGCTCGTATACCATTAAGCCACTGGGACCCAATCCAATGGCCCATGAATTCTAACTTCTGCCAATTCACGATATAGCGCGACCGCTAGCCAATGTCTTCGGCGAGTAATTGTCTTCATACCGGACCCACTGCACAACTTCCGAAGTCTGTTTGCATGCATGAACGAATGTATGTGTTAAATTACTGTCTACTAATGTTCGAATGGGAATTATTCAAGAAATTACTGTTTCACCAAACGACTATTTATTTCCACATTCTTGATGAATATGTGTACAGTCATTTGATGGCACACCGTGAGTGCTTCTTAGAACAGTCTATCTCCTAACTATAGGTACTTGAAGATATTTTTGCAAAAGGGAAGAATAATGTCACTATGGGAATTATGAGTAACATTATGAGAATCTTTTTTTCAATTTAAAGGTTTTTTGGGAACTTACTGATGTTAAAAAAAACTATAATCTATCACATAAAGATATTGATCAAAGAACTCCTAAGAACCAGAGAAAACGGAGCAGCCCCTCTATTTTAGTTCGGTACTTACAACGTTTTACAGCATTTAATTTGTTTCTGTGACGAGAAACAACTGTAACACTTTTAGGAACATTATAAGAATGTTTATAATTAGTTCAGTATTCTAGAAATGTGAACCACTGTTTCAATAAGCCATCCTATTACATACAAGGAAGTGGTTGCACTTTAACGAAAGCCATAAGAATGAGAGTGCGCAAAATTAGAATTAACTGTTGGACGCTTTGGATTTGGAATGAAGGAATAACAAGGACACAAATCTATAGTAAACTTAAGAACAGATTACGTCACTGATTGGTTACATGATTTTATCTGAGCTGACATCGGTTAGGGAAACACTGGAAAGCCTGGAATTACTGGACGGCTGTTTTGTCCTATTTCGGGACTCTTCATCGACACGTACCCATCGGGGTTCAAACGCAGGACAGTTACTCGCTCATGACACTGATTATTGATCGTGGTATATCGTGACCTGGTAGAAGTTAGAATTCATAGGCCGTTGGGTCGAGTCCCAGTGGCCGAATGGTTTGCGAGCACACCTAGTAACCTAAGGTACTGGGTTCAAACTCCAGTAGTGTGTGCATACTGGTGAAGAACCTCAAACTAGGAAGAAACAGTTCTTCAGCACTTCCAGGTTTATCGGTGGTTCTCTAAGTGACGTCGGATGATGATGAAATACTATAACCAGTATAACCATTATGTTTGTGTAATGCTCTGTGATATGTATCCACATATATATATTTATGTGTTCGTATGTTGGTCTCTCTTTCTGTTTGCTCTCTTAGTCTGTGACCATTTCACTTGTATGAACTTGTCTCCTTTAACAATGTATATTCCCCTTATATTATATATAATATGAGTGTTTGTTGACAGTCCGTTGCTTGGTGACATATATATCCATATATGGTGGTTGTTGACATGTCTGCTATATTTTGCTATGTATATATGGATCGATACTTCATTATAATTAGCCATTCATGTTAAGACTGTCTAATGATTGTTCACACCCTTGTCATATATATTTCGCTCTCACAATTTGTGTGACTGACTTACTCACTTACTTTGGTGTGATACCACTTTTGCATTCTCCTCGTGTTTGGAAATAGAAGTATCATCGCAAACCTAGTGGTCTTCTGATTTCCGCCTTCTTGCGTCAGGACTATTAAATTCTCGACCAGTACATAGCAATAATTTGGCGACGAGTACATAACACTCTGTTCCACAGTATGATCACTGAAGTTAAAAGATTTTCGAATACTATAAGTATTTAATTGTAGTAGTCTATGTTGCGTTGGTTGATTTTGGTAGAAATATCAACTAACTAGTGCCGATGTTAAACGTAGAATCCTAAGTAAGATATATAAGTCATTCGAGGAATCAGTGAAAATGATCACCTCAGGTGTGTGTTAAGCATATCTATGTGACATTTATCTTGATGTAGTATGATGACTAAAGAATAGTCTTTTGGGAAGAAAGAGAACGGTGACGAAATTATCTCCTGGTACAAATCATCTAATATTGCTCTGATCTGTAGGTGGAAATACAAGTTACCTAATTAGGGTTCACGCAACTTCAAAGACCTTCGTCTTCTCATACTTCTTGTTACGATTTAGAACAAACCGAGGAAGCCTTCATAACTTACTCATTGTAATACATCATTTGTTTATTAACATCACTCTTACTAAATTAGTTTTGGTTCACTACGTAATTTCTGATGTATGACCATTCCCCTTTTACTGTGTCTCAACTGTTAGCAATATGGCCAATAATATAGTTTTAATAAGTATTAGATGGTTGGAGGCAATCGGCCACAGGAAGCCTTGAACCTAGGTTTCGTGCTAGTTGGCACTCGACAGTCAGCAAGGCGTATCTGAAACCTTGAAGGAACTCATGTCCCTTCTGAGATTTGAACCCGCGTCACCAGTGCTGCAGTCAGAGACGTTACCACTGAGCTATTCGGGCTCGCGATTGACCTCCTGTAGGAATGTAATGGTATTTTGATTTGACACTAGTAACTAGTGTGATGCGTCTAGTCCTCTGATTGGTGTAGACTGAATTCTATCAGTCAGGTTGTAATGTGACCACCATTCTAGCTAGCTCGCCATCACGGTGAAAATTGATTTGATGGTGATAGATGGTTAGAGGCAATCGGCAGGAAGCCTTGAACCTAGGTTTCGTGCTAGTTGGCACTCGTTTTAATAAGTCCTGGTCTGATAATGATTAATTGTTTGTCTTTTTTAAAGGTAAAATGTTTATGAGTTTAACATAATGTTTTAAATTACAGCTTTTATATGTGTAGGTCAGCTCGTGCATAATAGTAATAACCTACTTAGTAGTGATTAAGAGTACAATCAACAGTCTATAGATTCAGTTTCTACTGAATGATATAACGTTCCTCTGTGAGCATACATCTGATTATCATCACTCTGTCTTTTCCGTCCTATGTATATACGTAGATTGATACTCCAGTTGGAGAGATCCAGTCAAAGACAGAGAAGAAGACATCTCCTAAATCAAGGAAAGTTAATAAATCAAAACGTGCACGCTCTACGAGTGGGTCGGAATCTGATACAAGCAATACACCTGGTGATACAAAGTCCCTGTTGGGAGATCCTAACGAGTTTATCTTTCCTGGATCACTGAAAGCATTACACAGAGAACAGGTACGTGATAATCTGTTTTATTCAGAATATTACTTCCCCAAATGCATTAGCATTGGCAGTTTGTTTAAGGCAGACTGCAGTTAGTTTGATTCTTTTCCCTTCACGTTCCCAGTGAAACACACGACTTCAGGCTAGTGGCTTGAAGTTTCTGTAGCAGTGTTCAATTTTTACAGGATGGGGTTGCTAGCCTCATGTCCAACCTTTCCTCTTTACCAGCATTATTTCTGGCTTAGCGAGGTAAAGGAGTGCGTCGGCCGGGGATCGTACACCGGATCATGTGCATGGTCGGCGAGCGTCCTAACCGCCATGCCACCGACGCACCAGTTAGCTTGATTAAAGTGTACTTATTAACAATAATATCATTTGCAGAAAGGATAAAAAGCAGCCATAAAACTTTCTCTCCATGTTTCGTGGCTAAATTACTGACTCATGTCTGATTGAAAAAATACAGAATGATATCTTAGTTTAATATCATTTTGTTTGAAAATGTTTTGTACTGAATTTATGTTTGGTTTGTTCTCCGAAGTCCTTTCTTATGGGAGAAATAAAAACAGAGAGTTTTTGAAACAAGTTTTCAACATGGTTTCATAAAAAGTACAGAAACAAAAAACGCAGGATTACTGAAGAGTCATATACTTCTGGTTAATACGGTACGGTAAGCAATTATTTCATGAATTTTTACATATTGTTTCGTAGTTGTCGGTGGATCCAAAAAAGGCCTTTTTAATGAAGGCGAGTCATTAACTGTCAAATTAAAAGACAGTTACTAGACAACATTTTTCCAACTCTTCAATGTATACGTCTGATAACATTGACTTGATATTTGAAAAGACGTTACTATTGCTACTGTGAATGAAGATATGCTTTTCTTTGAGTTTCTGATTTATTAGTAATGGTTTTGTTGATATTTCATCCTACAAATTTGTGAGAGAAACAGTATTTTAGCTAGCAAACAAAAAAAAATACATCGTACCTTAAATAAACAATTTACACCAATATTCATTAACTTTCAATGAGACTCCTGGAAAAACCCGTTCATTCACCTTAGACAATCTGAAGAGAGTGGAATAGGTTACTGAAACTCATTAACAACAGATTAAAAAAAACCACTGTTATTCACTTGCTCTTCTGATGGTGTATATAAATTTAGTCACCAACACCAACTAGTTTGTACTGGACTCTGTTCTCACAATACATATTCTCTATGATAATAGTCTTTTAATTTATGCTGCTTTTTCAAAACTTCACTGCTTGTGTCAGCCCTCTAGTTTAACTCATTCTGTGGGGATATTATGACTCACTAGTACTTTTTATAAGAAGGTCCCTTCAGTCGAATCATTATCCGTCTTCATATTACATACGATACCTACAGTATTTTCATAGTAAGCATTGTTTTATATGTATTACTTTTCCTCTATATTGATGTCATTGCAATGCATTACAAAATACACATTTTGTCTAATGCCATTAAGGTGAATGATAATAATTGTATCTATAGACTTATGTATATGAATGAGACTGTGCAGTTTTTGAGAATAAAGTCGCTGAAAAGATATCTTTGCTGAACTTTTTGTTCTTTTCTCTGCAATGTCCTGATGGGTGATTTCCATGATTTCAATGATGATTCTCAAAGTATAGTAATATATTTAATGAAAGAATGGTGACGTACTCAAGAATCACCAGACTGAGTTTCATGCAAGTAATATAAAAATTCCTACTAAGAAAACATAGAATCCCAAACTAGGACGAAATTGTTATCCGGTCATCCCAAGTTTTCCAGTGGTTGTTTAACTGATGACAGCTCATAATGAAATCCTGTAAAAAAATCAATTTATTGGCTGCCATTCTAATTCAAGTTAATTAGTGTAGGCTTCATAAAAGTTCCTTGATTAGCTTATAGGGCGGATAACATATTTCACGATGTATCTTGTCATTATTTATCGGATGAGCTCTATCGTCTGACTGACGTTTCGTTACAATATTATTTCATTAACATTAATGCTTATTTTAAAAGAACTGTTCTTTTCTACCGTGCAAAAAAGGAACTTATAAAGCTGAAAAAAGAAACTGTAGAACGTCAGAAAGAAGAAAACCGCATTAAGTCAGCTAAAAAACGGGCAGAGAAAGAAGCTGCTCAAACACAGAAAAAAGAATCATCAGGAAAACGTAATAAATCACCTAGCCCGAAGTCACCAATACAGAAGAGTAACACAGATGATGATACAAATCAAGCAGAACATCTAAAGCCTAGACAAAGTGATTCTGAATTTTGGCCAGTAAGTAGACCATATATTGAATTAATAAATTCTACAGGTTAATTTTCAAACACGTTTCAAAATTGGGAACTATAAACCTCTTCTGCTATTTGATAGAAAATAATACCAATCAGCAGTAGATTTGTGAAACCTAAAGGAAATTAGCCTCAGTGATTTGGGGATGAACCGGCATGAGTAGAATGAAGGTGTGTGCATCATATCTTCACTTTACAAAAGGTTCTCGAATATTAGCATACTCAACCTCATCCAAAAGTTTTCATATTTCCTGACTTCTAATTGTTACTAAAGCTAGTAAAATAAAAGTGTTATGAAATATGTTGCCAACGGTGTATGTTTAACTTACTAAGACACTTAATCTACCCTGTGTGCTCAAGTGAAAACTTATTGAAACCCTTCGATTAAGGGTATAGCACCCAATTATATCACTTTGGGTATAACATTTTGCCAACTTTATTTAATTTCATAAATGAATGCAGATGGTTCTGTCTGACTTGAACATCATTCTGTCTCAACAAAAGAGCTTATTGACTCAGATTATACAGACGTTATAAATATTTTGAATAAAGAGTTGACTAAATTTAAGCTCTTTAGCACAGCTCAGAAGGTGTTTTTGGTGAGAACATGAAGGCTTCAGTATGTTATGTAGTGAAAAATAAATGATATTTTTAAAGATCAAACGCTAAGTGATTGAATGCTTTGGATGCTTCTCACATTTAGGCGGTCATATCAGACCTTTTCAGCTCACTGCCATCAAAGACTTGGTACAGATTTAAAAGACAGCTTCTGTATTTGTCAGTTTGTGTGACAAATATTCCACTACCTATAATAGAGCGTGTTTATTTAACAGAAGATTCCTTCATCCTCTTCTGTGGCTGTCACATATGGGCACTCAAAGTAGAAGGCTTAAAAATACTACGGATTGTTGACTCTGGATGTATTCTTTTCATCGCTAATTTTAGGTGAAACATCATGATAAATAATGTTGAGATCGAACAATGAATGTTAAGTGAGGAAGATGAGTTAGTGAATCTCTATCGAACGAATTGTCTTCAAAATTTAAAGCTTATCCTAGGTAACCATCTTCTATGACTAGCAATGCCAGAATAATATTGGGGCTGGTCAGATGAAAACATGGCAAGGACATACGGAATCAAAATTACTATTCCGATCCACTTAGGACGCCTATTTGGGTCTTCATGATCCCCATAAATAAAGTCTAGATAATTTTTACCATACGTTTTAAAGTCGTTCACAGCAAAAGCGACATATTCTCTGATATACATCTTCGAAGTTCTTAGGATTGATGGTTTCATCCAGTTATTTTTTTTCTTTTGCAGTTAATTCTGCCAAGTTTTGTATCTTTTTTCTCTCTTTTTTTATTCTGTGTGTAATTGTGCTCAATGTTCTGCTGTTCATTTGGGAACTTGATTGGTCGGTCACTGTCAGTACTGAAATGATCCTTAGGAACCACAACGCCAGAGAATACCTTACACAATTTTACAGTTTTGTGTTAAATTTCTAGCCACTGACTGTTCAGCTGGAAGTCAGTTATGTATGACAGGAAGGGGGCAGAAGATGTCAGCATTGAGTTTCTTCCAAATGAACTGCGTATTGCGTGACTGTCACCTCTTATTATTATCAAATGTTATTCATTAGAAAACATTTTTATTGTTAATTGTGATAAGTTTAGTTGACAGAGTTATCCTTCAATAAATCTATTGTTTATATTATCTTGATCACAGTTAAGACAGGTAAACGTCTACTGATAATTTTTACTGAACTGTCTAGATAGATGATAATCACATTTAGAAAACTATTGGCAAATTTTCAAAGTAAACAACTCAGTTAGGCAGAATCTGAAGTTAGGTAATTGGAAAAATTGATACCACAGAAGATTACTTCTGATCTATTAAACTTATCTAGCATATACTCAGGTAAAATCTAAATGATAAAATTGGTTAGATTTTGGGGGAAATGTATCAGTAATATTTCTAAAACAAACGCAGAAGTGATATACATATTGTTATAATACTTATTCTCCTTTAGTTTATAGGCTATGATATTTCCAACATATTACCACATTTAACCGGAGAAGTGACTCATATGTTCCCTACGGATGGCGGTACAATAAAAACGCAAAGAAGTGAAGTGCCAACAGGTAAAAGATAAATTCTAACGTTCTCATGAATGTTTCATTGAATTATATGTGAAATATGATAACTAGCATTGAATAAGCCATCCCTCATTTCAATCTGTGCCTGACTGAGATTTCTGTGAGAAAGACAAGATGATCAACAACTTTTATGAGCTTGATCATACTCACAATAGTCAGATGAAAGTGCCAACGATGGAATTTAGGTTGAGCATTATTCATTCATTAAATGTTGAAGTGTAGTTGATAGACAGCAAAATCAAGCACTATTGCTTAGAACTCACTCTAACTGGCTTTATGTCAGTCAGTAATCAGAATTGAAAAGAACCTGAGTTGTCAAGTATTTGGCAAATGAGCTGCTGAAAGTTCGCAGCCTGGGATGAAAAGCCTATCAACGGATCACTGGTCTTACTAATTCTCTAAATGATCTCAGTTTTTAATGAAATCTATCCTGGTGCCTTGTCATATACTTTACTTAAATATAAGATGAATGAATCTTCTGATCAATGGTTTTGCGTTATTCGGGTAATTGTATCTTTTTACAGAGTTTAACCTCTTTGTCATTGTATATCAATAAAGACAAGTTAAGAATTGGTTTTTTCCTAACGGAATAATTAGAATAAAACTTCTTAGATAATGTCAGTTGAAATGTTTAGACTTCATATTAATTCCATTTCCAGTTATTTTAGAATTATTGTCGAATGTATACAGACAACGAACAGTCACCTTTTTCGGCCATCCTTCTACATCACATTTTTATTTTTTCTATTTTTTTGTTTTTGATTACAGCTTGATTCCACACTGTATTTTTTGGTACAGGTATGGAATTTTCAGCATGTGATATCGGTAGCCCAAATTTTGCAGGCCCACCATGGATATCAAGTGTGCGCTGGCAGGAGATCGAACCCCGGACCATGTGCATGGTCGGCGAGAGTCCTAACCACTGTGCCACCGACAAACAAAGGATTGCGTCAGCCGGGGATCGAACTCCGGACCACGTGGATGGTCAAAAGCAACCTGACCGCATTGCCACTGACGCACATCTAGTATAATCGAAACTTCTCTATGCCTGCAAATATTATAAGTAGTTCTTAAAACCAAAGTGGGAACGTAAGTGTCCTAAGGGGCGGGGAGTTATCAAAGAAGACAAAACTGAATAACAAAAAGCTGTTTTAAAGTAGATTTCGTTATGAAGGAACATCACTTAAAACGATATCAGCTTGAAACTGTTTAGTAACCCTCAAATTCTGTCACATCAGGGACCTTTAGATTAAGGGACTAATATCTTCGCCATCCAGTCACTCATTTGGGAACGATTAGACCATGAATTCAAACTTCTGTCATTTTACGATTCATAATCAATTACAACATTTTATTGGTGTCTGTCGTAACACGTCTATTAGATAGACCCGGTTGGCCACAAATTTCAGTCAAAATTGCGAGAAATCCCGTACGAAGTTTATACAGTGAAGGCGTTTCTTAGTCAGTGACATTTGATTACAATGGTGCTATATGATGAACTTAGTGATCTGAAGATTGGATTATAAGCCTGAAATGGTGTTACCACCTACTGTTGATCAGGATAAAACTTATACAAAATAGGTTTCTAGATATTTATAGTTTTGAACTGAGCAATCAAATCCTTTCAAACACAACATTCAGGCGTGTTTTTTGTCTATTCCTAGTCTGTTTTCATTTTCATGGGCAAAAACTGTAGTTATTCATAATTTTATTTTTTAGGTGGATCAAACTTGCGGGTTAGTCTTATGAAAGACGGTCATGTGTTCACAATCCACAAGGCTGATGGTCCACCAGAGCCGAACATTCCTTATAAAAAATCAAATGAAACTGACTTTGTCGGTGAAGAAAACGAGGTATTTATTATATGGGATATTTTACAAATGTCTTTATGTCACATTGAGAATGCAATTTACCTATATAATAATCATTTAAGTTGAATAATCTGTCTTTAAATTTAACTAAAATTCTTTGCTAGTCATGAAACCATAGGTATTTTATTTTGAACATTTACATAAACAGTCCTTATTTTTACCTAGTAGGATATCTCTTTTCTCGCTTAGTTTAGAGTATCCATGATTTCACCAGAGATTATCGTAAAAAATAAAAATTATTAGCCACTATAAGCACTGGACTTGAAGTGGTTTTTACTTTCAACAGTTTGAATCCTACAGTGATATGTTTTGGTTTCCAAGATATGATCAGACAATGCGTCAAGGATAGATTACCGCTTTTGTCCACATCTATGTGCATTTACTCTTTTACTTGCTCTTGTGGAGCTGTTTATATTGGACGTTGTAAGCGTAATCTCCGAAAACGTGTAGCTGAACACTATCCGGTTTGGTTAATGAAAGGCGAACGTAGAACTGCAAAGTCGTCTATTTGTGATCACCTGTTAGAGTCTGGTCATTTAGCCCCACGTGATTCATCTTTCAAAGTTATATGCATGGCAAAATCGAATCGATCCAAAAGTTTACGTTTTCTTCACTTATGCATAGCCGAAGCTTTAGCTATACATGGACAGAAACCTAAATTATGTATTCAAAAGCGTTTTGTCAAACCCCTTTCTTTACCTTGGTCATAATGTTCTTTCTAGTTTTTATTTTATTTTACCACTTGAATTCTTTCCACTTCACGTCACATCTTCATTCTTATCGTAATCGTACTCCTAATTTCCAAAATTTTAGAGAACACTTGACATTTTTGTTATAGAACAATCTTAAATATTTTTGTAATTTATCCACTTCAACTCTACCCGTTATAACTTTTATCACATATATACGTACATTGACTGAGCAGTTATTTAGTGCCACTTAATAACCTTTTTCTGTAATATAAATACGACTGTACAGTTGGCTTGAAAATGAAGTCGTTGAAAAGAAATTTCTTCGCTGAACAAAAACTGTGTTTTTTCCAAGATATGACAAATTACAACTTCTCACAATGGATAGAAATGAAATTACATGATTTCAACTTTAACTTGATTCACTTCCGCCTTTATGGCAAGTAAATTCGCACAATTGATACTTTTGGAGTACTTTTACAACATCACATTGAAAAACGTAGTATTTCCCTCCATCAAATACTTTTTAGACAATACTATAATCTGCCAAATTAACAGAATATATTTTCAATAGTTTATTTGTAGGGATTCGCTTTGTACGGAGTTTGATCACCATTTGATGTTAATCAGAGAACCATTGAAAACCAGGGAGTACCAGAGGTCTATTTCGTCTTAGTGTGTGATGTGGTCATGGATGCATACTGATTAAGAGTTTGAAACTAGGACGAGACAGCTGTTCAATACTCCCTAGTTTTCAGTGGTCCTCCAACTGACAGCAGTCTGTCAACATACTTAACAGTTAAGTTAATGTGCAGGAATGTTATTTCTACCTACATTACCATATGTTTCTCAATGCAATATATAAATTTTTATTTTAATGAGGATATTCCTCTTCATAATACACAAGACGTTTTTAAGGTCTGATTAAGTTCTGTATAAAATATAGATATGATAGCGTCATATTTAAGGAGTCACTATTTCTATTCCTGTCTACACTTATCTTTAGAGTGCTACAAATCAATTCAAATCAAATGACATCATACAAGAAGACTGTCATGATCATGATGTCACGAAGAATCCTGTATTACCAGAGTTATTTAGTTCAGTTACTGCATGCTTTTCTGATGGTATTTGCCTTGCTGTTTGTAGAATGAACAATATGGCTTCGGTGAGTACTTACTTTAAGTTAGTTAACATTATTTTATTATATCAAAAATGATGGTTAATACCGTACAAGCTGTTTTAAAAGTAATCAGCTCACCGATTATCGGCATACAAACTAGGATTACTGTATAGAATGTCTGGCTTCTACATTTCTTAGCTAAACATTCAATAGAGGACAATAATGAAAGAAGATACCATTAACAAATTAAAATAATATGGACACCTTAGCAGCCAGGCAATTAAGATGAGGAAAGTAAAGCAAGAAAAAAGTAAAGGAACGGAATGTTGCTGAATGAATGATAAAAATAAGGTAAATGAATACACATGTGTATATCTTTTATATTTAACCGCAAATATAAGTAGATTGTTTCCTGGAATCCAGGTCGAAAATCTCTTAGCCCTCCTCACACACTGAACTTAAGTTTCTAAAGCAGATCGTTGGCTAAATAATTCAGGATACTACTAACGGTCATCCTAAAAATTATTTTCAAACAAAAAGTAGTCTTCTTCATGAATTCTGATATAACAATAAGGCGATATTTTTCTGAAGTATGTGATGCCTTTCGCGCAACACACTTCAAACATTCTGACCACACACACCTACTGCTTATACATATTTATATAAAAGGTAATAGAGCTTGGGGGATAATAATTGTTATCAATAATTGCCAAAATGTTTACGGGTTATGATGGCTGACTGATAAGACGTGAGAAGATGAGGTATGAAAGACAACGGGTAAAATGTCATTCAGTAAAATAAATCTTGGTTGCAAAATTGGATTACCAAGTCACGTTTATTGTCATGACCCATAATTTTAAACACATAAACCTGATTCAAGCTTCCTTTAAGTTCACGGTTTCAATGAATTTAGGTACGTAACCTAAACTTGTTGTATGTATAGATTTAAAGGAGATAGTGAAATCAAATTTGTGACCCTTATCTATTATTCTCTTTGCAATAGGTGAAGCTGGACTGTGTTTCCAGGGTTAGTTGAGTTAGGAGATTTTATTTTTCCCTTGATTAACTTAGGAATATGTTGTGCGGCCCTAACCTAAGGTGACTGATGGGCTCTCTATGAACATGTGACTACATACATACACATAAATCAGCAATCACAGTGACACTATCGTTCAGATTCTGTGAGTGGTTGGGAGATAACATAAATTTTGTTTTCCCTATGAAAATGAGTTTAGCTGCATAGCGAGTCCTGTGTGTTACAACTGAGTTATCGTTTAGCCATCAGAATTTGATGATCATCTATGAAGAGAATGAATATATTTAAACCCTACTATAGAACTCACTGATTTTGTGGAGCCCTTTGTTTACTGATTCTGATTCAGTTAATCCCAGAGATAGATGTCACACATCATACGTTGCAAAGCACATCACAGAGACTAGTCATAAAATTAATTTCAGTCAGGCCTTTAAATTCATACATAAAACAGGTTTGGATTATATGCTAAAATTCGTTTAAGCCTTAGACATAATGATGCTTAAATGTGTTTTATGTGCTGAAAAAACTGCTTGGCATAATAATGAACCTCACTCGGTAATTCATCTTTTAAACTACGGTTCATTTTATTTAATAGTACTTACATCCGCTGTTTTCCTTACCTCATTTTTCTTACTTCATCTCTGATCTTGACCAGTAAATGTTTTTATCTATATTAATTAAATGTTGATCCTTTATATTCTGTTGTCTTTTATGTAAGTGTGTACGACAAGTACATGTTTGTTCAGAATATCCAAAATGTGTTGAGCAGATACATTACACCTTTCAGATAAATTACTTCTAATTGTCTTGTAGAAAAGATTTTTAAATTCTAAATATAATTCAGTATTTTACAACTAATTTCGAGCGTTGAAAGTTTACAGGCTTACTAATGTTTTACATTGTCATTCTCTTCACTTGTTTGATTTTTAGGATGAGCTTGTGCATCTTTTGGCTTTAATACACTGAAGTTGTTCTTATCTTTTTGATATGCAATTATTAGTTGTTCTCACCTTCGCACGAGAGGAAGATATTTGGTAGATATTTATATAGTTGTAAGTATGCATCTTCAATAGTCTGTGAGCAGAACAAGTATTTGTTTTTTTTTAAAGCGCTGAAACTATCTGATGTAGACAGTTACACAGTTGTGGTGACATAATGCTGAAGTTGGTTTTAGCATACTTATTAGTATATGCTAATTTCCACCTGTTTTTATATCTTTCCCATCATAATATTTCCTAACGTCGTAAACATTTGGTTGTAGACGTCTCAGACACAGCTAGACCACATCAATCTACAATACAAAACAAATAATATCAACAATAATTCGAATATTCCCGTGAACAGTATTCCTGTCAACATTAACAACAAAGTTGGTCCTATTCACATAGATGAATGTGGGGAAAATTTACAGACGAATCAGTTTAAACAATTCATCCATCTTTCTACACCGGACGGGGCACAGATATGTGTTTATCATGATATCAGTAAGTGATGTGTTTACGATTCCTTTTATAATTTATTCAATAATAATTTATGAAAAAAATCACTATTAGGATGTAGTCTGACCATCAAAGTGGACTAAGAAATAATGCTAAAGGTAGATTAATTCTTGGAGTAAATAGGAGCTTTAGTGTGATCATTGAAGAATTGCTTAAAGTAAAACAACACTAATTACAACATCAAGCAGGCTTTAGACCAGGTAGAGGGTGCATAGATCATATCTTCACTCTTCGACAGATTCTAGAACATAGACACACTTTTCGGCGTCCAACAATTGTCATATTTCTTGACTTGAAGGCGGCCTTCGACTCCGTGGACCGAAAAGTACTATGGCAATGTCTGACTGTGAAGGGAGTGCCAAGAAAGTACATTGCACTAATCAAGGCACTCTATTCAAACTCACGTAGTCGTGTAAGGGCTTATGGGGAATTGTCATCTGAATTAGTAACAACCAGTGGTGTCCGACAGGGATGTCCACTTTCCCCATTTCTGTTTAACTTCATCATAGATATGCTAATGGAAGTATCCTTAACTGAACGTAGTGACTTAGGAATCGACTTGTTACCAGGGTATAATCTAATGGACTTAGAATATGCAGATGACATAGTCCTGTTAGGGGAGGATGCTGACAAAATGCAGAGTCTTCTGAACACCTTGAGCAGCAATCTTCGTATGTTTGGCATGCGATTCGCCCCTGCAAAATGTAAGATGCTGCTACAGGACTGGACGACGTCAACCCCTAACTTAGTGATAGGGAGTGAAGTGATAGAACATGTTGACCACTTCACCTACTTGGGAAGTTGTATTAGCACCAACGGACTGATTGGCGATGAAATCTCAGCACGGATCCGAAAAGCTCGAGCTGCTTTCGCTGACTTACACCATCTCTGGCGTAGGCGTGACATCCGGTTATCAACCAAGGGACGTGTGTACTGCTCATCAGTTCGCTCCGTCCTTCTCTATGGCTCTGAAACATGGCCAATACGCGTTGAAGACATGAAAAGGTTGACTGCTTTCGATCATAGATGTCTGCGATCTCTGTCTCACGTTAGGTGGTTTCACAAGATAAGTAATGTTGACGTTAGGCGTAGAGTGTTGGGCAAAGAGGGAAAATCAATCGACGAGGTTATAAAGTTACATAGACTAAGATGGCTAGGTCACGTGCTGTGCATGCCTAACCACCGCCTCCCCCGTCGGGCATTGTTAGCTGATATAGGTTCAGGTTGGAAAAGAGCCAGTGGTGGCCAAACAAAAACATGGCATCAATCCATGAAATCCTTGACAGTTAAACTGAGTCAGGTAGGGAGATGCAGACTCCCGGGTTGGGGCCCTCGGGACTCTAGGAATCAATGGCTGGAGACAATAGGTGACATGGCTCAAAATCGTTGTCAATGGCGCAGATGTATTCAATCTCTGTAATCTTTCATATTCCTTTCTACCATTACCCATTCTGTTTCACTCTTATATTTGTCAAACTCTATTAATTCTCTTCACTCATCTTCTTGTCTACCTCTGTGTGCTATTTGGAAGGTGGCAACTCGAACTGCTGCACTTCGGTGCCAAGTTCTATGTTGAATCCAGACAGACAGACAGAATTACAACATCATTATTAGGATATTATTATACCTTTGGTTTCCAAGTAGAACATGGGGCTTCAACGGCACATTTCTGTTTTGTCCTGTTCTCTGTAATCCTCTTTATCTGGCTTCGCAACTGCCCACAAGCTTTCATGTCCTCTCCACACGATCTTCTGCACATCACCCTCGGATGTGCAACTCGTACTTTTCCATTTAGGCCCCACTCGAGGGCCAGTACTGCGCGCGATTGTACTCAACAGCCTCATCAACATGTGCCTTATGCATCTCCCTTTTTCTTCGGCATACTTTTTGAGCAGCCGATTCTTGATTTTTCCGTTTCCAGAGTTTTTTGCCAATAATTCTTTCTGGTCAACTGGTCTTCAGTCTGAAGCCAACGAAGGCAGCTGCTTATAATAGCTTGCCTGTTGGAAATGCTTTCCGAGAAGTGCCAAGTTTCTAACCCGTATAGAAGTGAATCAACATTCGTGCTGAAAATCCGAATTTCGTTGTTTATGCTGAGTGTAGTAGATTGCCAAACTGACTTCAGAGTGATGAAGGTCTTCTTTGCCTTTCCCATCCTGGTTTCGAAAACCCCATCCGTTCACCCTGTAGCCGAAACATTGCTGTCCAGATAAGTGAAAGAACTAACTTCTTTCAGATTTCTCCCGTTGACAGTGATTATTCTATTGATTATCTTCCTCACCATTACAGAATAAATTTGTTCGATAAAAGCACACAGTGATACAGCCTTATTTACTTATGAAATCCTGATCATAATTTATCTCTCTTAATCATACCAAAGCACTCACATAACTTTCATATTTTGTTTATATATTTCCACTGTTTCTTATCTTTTGAATTTATTACCACCGTGTGAATACATTTTCTATGAGATATAAAAATAATCTGTCCAGATGGAAGCAGGTAGAAAATGAAAAAAAGTAAGTATGTTTTAATATCACCCACTTTGATGAAATGAAATAAGAAGTGAAAAAGAGAGATCATAGTGAGAGCTAATTTTCGGTTTTAAGCAACAACCTAATTATTTACGTAGGAATCATTTCTCTAAAATGCTTACTTACATACAGCGGTGACTATCTGCTAACTTTCCTTATTACACTGCTCGATTGCAGATACTCGAAATGAATTTGTAACATGTGTTAACAACGACGCTTATTTGAGCGTTTCCAAGTTCATGTAATTACATAAGAAGTATACTATTTAGATATTTGACATCAAACCAATGACATGTAAAATTTTTATGAGGTATTTATTTGGATGACTTCAGAGCTCTTGTTATCCTTTGATAGTATATATCGCTTTATAGTCACAACCAGGCTTAAACCTTTAATGTGAAACATAAAAAATAACATTTTTATGAATTTACACTGCTGAATGTGGTCTATTGCATCAGGAAGTTAGCGCTTTCGCTCTTTTCACAGTGGCGCTCACTCAAACTGGGGGTTTTTGACATGTAGTGTGTAATTGCCTGATATTCTTGTGACTATCAAATGACATGCTACATTAATTCCAGCTTTATGAATTCAAGACTTCACTTTACACATGTTGGGCATTATATACACATTTGGAGAGGTTGACTGAATCAAATTAATCCAATTTCTTTTGGGTTGTCGATAACTTTATAAGATTCCCCACACTGAATTTCATTTTACATTAGAGTTCCTGGAGACATTTCAAGCCTCCTCACCAAAGTCTTCAGATGCTCCTATTTTGCGTATGGAAACTTGCTAAAACCTAACCGTACACAGGTTGTCTCTCAGGACATTTTTTATCTTTTAAACAGCACTTTTGGAATAGAAAAAGATACAGCAAACTTAGGCGTGAATTAATCTGTCTGTCCCTGTCTGTCTGTTTTCGACATAGAACTTTGCACAAATGTGCAGAAGTTCAAGTCGCCACACTCCGTGTAGCACGCGAAGCAACAGAAGAAAGTACAAGAAAAGCATAATAGAGACAGTGAGCAGAGGTGTGAGACAAAGGAGTAATAGCGAAAAACAAAACAGTTTCATTGGAGATCATAAGTCACAAGGAGTGGATGCATCTGCGCCACTGAGAACGGTTTTGAGCCATGTCACCAATTGTTTCCAACCATAGATGTTTACCGTCCCGAGGACCCCAGACTGGAAGTCTACACCTTCCTACGTGGCTAAGACCAACTGTTGTGGATTTCATTGACTGATGCCAAGTTTTTGTTTGACCGCCGCTAGCTTTTTTCCAGCCTGACCCTATATCCGCTAACATAGCTCGTCGAGGGAGGCGATGACTTGGCATACGTAACACATGCCCTAACCATCTCAGTCGATGTAGCTTCACGACTTCGTCGATTGATTTCCCCTGTTTACCTAGAACTCTACGCCTAACCTCAATGTTGCTCACCTTATTATGCCACTTTACACGGGAAATAGAACGCAGGCACCTATGATCAAAGGCAGCTAGTCTTTTCATGTCTTCCACTCTCAGTGGCCAGGTCTCACAATCATAAAGGAGGACGGAGTGGACTGATGAGCAGTTCACCAGCCCTTTGGTCGATAGTCGAACATCTCGTCTACGCCAGAGTCGGCGTAAACTGGCAAATGCGAAACGAGCCCCCTGTATTCGTGCTGAGATTTCGTCAGAGATCAGCCCGTTGGGGCTGATGGTACTTCCCAAATAAGTGAAGCGGTCAACGTGCTCTACCACTTCACTTCCTATTTTTAAACTAGGCGTCGATGTAGTCCAGTCCTGTAACATCATCTTGCATTTGGCGGGAGCGAATCGCATGCCAAACATTCATGGATTGCAGCTGAAGGTGTTCAGAAGACTCTGCATTTTGTCACCGTCCTCGCCTAGAAGGACTATATCGTCTGCACATTCTAAGTCAATGAGATTATTCCCTGGTAGCAAGTCAATCCCTGAGTCTCTGAAGTGAGTTAGGGTTAAGTCCAATAGTACATCTATAATGAAGTTGAATAGAAATGGGGATAATGGGCATCCCTGACGGACACCGCTAGTCGTCACCACTTCAGATGATAACTCGCCGTAAGCCCTCACCTGGCTGCATGAGTTAGAGTAGAGTGACTTGATCAGTGAAATGTATTTTCACGGCATTTCCTTTACAGCCAAACATCGCCAGAGTACCTCTCGGTCGACAGAATCGAATTCCGCCTTTAGGTCAAGTAATATATAATGATTGTTGGACGCCGGTAGGAATGCCTATGTTCTAGAATCTGTCGGAGGGTGAAGATATGATCAATACACCCTCTTCCTGGTCTAAAGCCTGCCTGGCTCTCTCGTGTTTGTGCCTCCCGAGCACCACTCAGTCTACGCATGATTATTGAGCCTAAGACTTTAGATACTATATTAGTCAAGCTAATCCCTCTGTGATTATCACAGGAAGACTTGTCTCCCTTCTTGTATATGGGGATAATCAGTGACTTACACCAACCCGATGGGACTTCTTCTGATTCCCAGACGCTGCCTAGTACCTCAGTTAATGCAGACAGTAAGCTGTCTCCACCGTACTTAAATACCTCTGGAGTCATTCCATCAGGTCCCGCTGCTTTGCCTAGTTTCAGATTGGTGACAGCTTTAGTAACCTCAGTTAGGGACGGAGGACCTGTGTCTATATCCCATTCAGGGAGGTGTTGGATGCTCGGAAGGTTGAGCGTGGCTGTGGGCCAATTAAACTGCTCCTCATAATGCTCTTTCCAACGATCCAGTCGTCTATCCTGGGAGCTAATTATAGTGCCATTTTTTTCCGAGATTGTCTCACTAATGATTTGTCTTCTCCCACCCGTTTCCCTGATGAGTCTAAAGAGTTGCCTGGTGTTGCCTATCCTCGAAGCTTTCTCCATCTCTTTGGCTTTTGTCGCCCACCACTGTTCACGGTCCTTGCGGAGACTTTTCGTAAGTTTCCTCTTGTGCAGCTTTCGCTCCTCATTGAATTCGGAGCTCGCCGGAATAAGTCTTCTAGCATCTATCAGTTCGGATGAGGCGGTGGAGATCCAGTGGTTTTTACTCACCTTTGGGTTTACCTTATTCACAGCTTTTACAGCTGTATCTATGGCTGCCTGGATATTTTTCCAAGCTTCTTCAGGGTGAGCACAGCTGTCGAACACAGATATGTGTTTAGCTAGTTCTTCCTCAAATACGGATTTAGTTTCCTGATCGAGCTGGGGACGTGATGGTTTTACCGCCAGCTGTTTCCTACGTCCGTTCAGTCGTAAGCACACCCGAGCGCGGACCAGTGCATGGTCGGTATCTACACACGTGTTCCAGAAGGAGCGACAATCTCCTACCGACCCACGCCAACGATAGCTTATTGCTATGTGGTCTATTTGTGTCCAGCGTTGGTTTGATGAAGGGGGTCTCCAAGTCAAACAGTGTCTCTCCTTGTGTTTGAAGTTAGTGCTTACAAGAAACAAATGATTATCAGAGCAGAACTGTAGGAGACGGTCACCGTTGTCGGTTCGCTGGCACGGAACTCCATAGGTGCCACCGACATCCTTCTCAGATTGACACAATTTCCCTACTTGAGCGTTAAAGTCACCAGCTAGAACGACTATGTCTGAGCGTTTAGCCTTTCGCACCAAACTAGACAGCTTTTGGTAGAACTCATCCTTCGTTTCATCTGAACTGCAGTCAGTGGGGGCGTAGGCGGAGATTACGAAAAGGCATCGGCGAGTAGTGCAGTCCTTCCTCCTTCTTACTGATCCGTTCAGACGGACAGCACACATTCGGCTATCTACCGGGATCCAGTCAAGCAATGTCTTTTCTGCCCTAGTACTCAAAGCTATCCCTACGCCAGCTAATCCTCGTGAACTAGCTGTGGCATCTCCTGACACCCTCAAGGTGAATTTTGCAGATTCAACCTGTTGGCCAGGTGGGGTTAGGTGAATAACCACACTTGGGTCTTGTATGCGTGTTTCTGAAACACAGCATACATCAATGGCTCGTGATGCCAGGGTCTTGGCTAGTGATGCTTGTTGTCCTATTTGGCAAAGTGTCCTAACATTAAGAGCTCCTATATGAAATTGGTGGCGCGGCTTTAAGAGGCTGTCGGTGGTTTTTTGGCTTCCATCGTTTTTAGTGGACGCAGAGTGGAGAGGAAGTGGAGAGCTATCAAGTCGAGGAGTTGCATCAGTGGAAGGAAGGCAAGATGATAGAGATGAAGATGAAGACAAAGATGAGTGAGTAATAGAGAGGTTTCGTGTGCATTTCGGATTGTGAGGGCGATTGTTACTTCCCGGCTGCCCACACCGTGGAAGTTGGTTGCGTGACCGCAGAGCCCAGGGGACAACTGCTTGAGGCCGGTCACACGCGGCCTGTTTTTGTTTGTTCTTTTTGTTTGGTGTGCCTCAGTAGCATATTTATCACTCCTGCCCTGTGACACGGCAGCAGGAAGCGCGGTCGTTGTTAATCCGGGCCACGGCCGATCCGGCATGAAATTTTGTGATTTTGTATTGATCATGATGTTGGATTGGGTAGCTGCTTTTTGTTTAACCGCTATCCAAACAACCTGCCTGGCATGGTAGAACCTCAAGAGACATAAGTCTCAGCCAGTATAGCTTGATTAGGTCATTGCGGTGTTCAAGCCCGACCACCACGTCAAGGTAGCAGCTTTCGTGAATTAATTCTAGAACTAGCTGTACATCAGTAGTAAACTGAATTCAGTTCAGTTTGATATCCATTTTCTTAATAAGGGTTGATATGTCAGAATAGGTCAAGCACTTAACTGTAATGAAATCAACCATCAGAGAATTTAAATGTTTCAATAAATTTTATGTTGGTTGAGTAAACGAGAATTTATTAAGTTGGCTAACTATAGATTTCAGTAATATTCTATGCAAATGGATTGCATAGTCTATCTTTCCTCTTAACGTAAAATGGATCTACTAGATTGTGTATTTCAACTAATCACGTTTGGAATGTTATTCTGATTAAGACTTTCATAGTAACGGTTGAAATGACTGATTGACGGTATAAGAAATGTTGTCTAGGATTGAAGGTAAACGACATGTCGCTGGAGAATTAAATACTTCTAAATTAAAGTGTCCAAATACAAGTTTACTCACATTCCCATCTCTTTCGGACAACTGAGCAAAATGACCTTTACCTTCAGCCGACAAATAACATAACACAAAGTATCTACTCCTACAGCTTCTACAGTTTTATTTTAATCCTAGTTAGGGAATAATTTTGTGTTCACAACAGCAAGGTTTTCATAACATCGAATCTTCAGGATGAAAGTACGGTAGAGTGCCTTCATAGCAACGGTTAGCGAAATAACATCAAGCAACTTTAGACAGCTGAGATTGTGTACCGGCTACTCGAGGGCATTTAGAAGCACACAGTCAGTTTTAGTGAGTAAATATTCAGGCACTATCTCAGATTTCAAGTTTAACTTCTAAAAGGGTCTTCATACAGTGTGTTTAGGATCCAGAGATGAAAATAAATTGACTTACTAGTGGAAAAGAGACGGCTGCGTTTTGAATGTTAAAGAACATATTGAAGCTTCCTATCACTAAAGCTTTTATATTTATTTACTTACAATAGTCACGAAACCTGAGTGAATAAGGTTTACAGACAGTTAGCAAGTCCAATACGTCTAATGTCAAAATGGTTATTCAATCAGTATTAGTGAATAGCAGACATATAGGGGAACTCTGTCAAATTTAACAAATCGACTTCCAAAACAAGATGATAACAAAGTGAGCTATAAAAAGAATGCTTCAACCAGTAGTTGGCAATAGAATTGAGTTAGATATTTTTAAATTCACTTAAAAAGCAGATTGTGAGTTTTCTCGTTTATTTTCAACACTCCACTTAATGAACTGAAATCATGCATACCGATAAACAACGTACTTTTTTATATATGCAGTAAGAAACTAATCAAACAATTCAACAATTCCAATCATTTAGACAGAAGGAATATAGTGTACAGGTGTTTAGAATTTTCTATTAATACTTCAATTGGTTTTGATATATGAATTTTGTTAGTGTCTTTTTGGTGTATAATTTTCCTTGTTGTAGGCGAAGATTCAAATCTAATTACTGACGAAAGTAAGAAAGAAGGAAAGGAGGTTGGTAACACTGAAGACGATGAATGTTCAGTCAATGATGAACAAAATAATTCATCCTCCAAATCTTTTCATGGGACGCTTTTAAAGTTATTATCATCTATTAATTCTAATCTTAATACTGTTAACAGTGATGGCACATACGTGAACTCTTCAAAAATGAAATCAGATAAAGAATATGAACTGACACGTTTTATCACATCAGATGGCATAGTGATACAGGTCTTGGTGCCCGGTTGTACATCATCGGCTTCAACAGCATTAAAAGTTAGTAATTTAAGTTTCAACATAAGACTTACTGTGTTTTTATTACCAAAAGACGCTACATACAAACAATGAGGCGTAAATGTTTAACCGCCTACCTAACTTATCATCCAAAGGAACTTATATTTGGACATAAAACGACAGTATATCTTTGATTTGTGTCCACATATTGCTTGATAATATGTTTCGAATCTAGTTTATTGCTACTCATCAGGAAGGCGATATTAAAGGAACTGGGAGATTGAAACCTGCGTCACCCCAAAAGCTATTGTCAGAGACTGAACCACTGGAATTGGACCATTGGAATTCACTATTGATTCCTTTTAGGACTGGAGTGTTTACACTGATTGGTGACTAGATAGTAACCAGTATCATGTATTTAGTCTTATAGGTCTATCATATATTGATTACTTCGCAGTTAACACGAATATAGTTGGTTAATAGATATGAATCTCTTACACTGGCACATGATGTAAAATTATCGTATATTTTTTTAGTACGAGTTTCACTTTGTTTATCATGGCTTACCACCAATATGCTCTAGTAGATGTCACTGATAAAAATGTTTTGCTTCTGTGTTGATGTAAATTCCGTGAAGCACTGAACAGAATTTTAGTTAATGAAAGTCAGAATGACTTTAAGTAGCTGCTTTTGGGAGCAATGAAATGTTTATCAGTGTAACCTAGAAATTCCATCTATGATACAGCCTAGGAACATTTGCTATCAAAAGTCTCTATAGTCAGCAGTTAATAACTTAAGGACTTATATTCTATCGACCTATTCAGTTCTTAGGATAAGTCTATTTTTGATAAGATGTGATAAATGCATATAGATTTCTCCATGTTTCGTAGCTGAATGTTGCGCAAACTATAAAATGTAGGGAAAAATATGACGGTGAAGCAATACAAACATAGAAATAAACACTGACCGGTGAAATATAACAGACAGATAGATTTGCGTCACTGCAAATGTTTTTACTTATAAGGATCAGAACTGACAACCACTGATTCCTAAGTCCTTAAAACTTTTACTAATACCTGTTTAACAAAACCTACATTTATTGACAAAATCTAGCACGCCTACGACATCACCAATTGAGTGTTTTCCAACCTCAGTGTCTCTAATGTAAAGTGCCGAAAAACTACAGTATAAATATCTATAACATTTGAACAAATACTTTAGTACCGTTAAAATAATTGCATTGGTACAGTGACTAATACGAAACAAAAATGGGAAGCATAAGTCAATAATCACGAGACTTTTCTGGTAACAGTACAACAGAATTTTTTGAAAAAAACGTTTTCACCTCACAACCTTGAATCGTTCCTACTCTAGAAAACCTGAATAACAATCAGCAAAAATAGATCTGCAGGAAACATAACATAAAAGGATCTTCTCTGCACAAGGAAACAGGAATGCTTCATACATTTATTTATTTGTGCCGTTAATTTTAATATTTTGAAACTTTTAATTGCTGTTTAGACTTAAACATTTGAATTTATCAAAATGTGACTTATACAAATTTCTTATTTTTCCTGCCGGATATATTCCCTCTACGTTCTTCAGTGTATCAGATGATAGATAATTTAGATAAACATGAAAATTCTTAATTATGTTTGCACCACTTTTTTATATTTTCTTTATATTTCCTTCACGTTCTCAGTGGAACATAGGGCCTCAAGCTAATGGCTTGAAGTTTCTGTAGCAGTGCTTATTCCACAGGATGGGGTTGCTGGTTTCATGTCCGACCTTTCCTCTTCACCAGCATTATTTCTGGCTCAGCGTGGTAAAGGGGTGCATCAGCCGGTGATCGAACCCAGCACCATTTGCATGGTCGGCGAGCGTCTTAACCGCACAAGTCACCACTAATCAAGTGTTTTGTGTGGCTATAAACTACTATATTCAATCTGTTTAAATAAACCCAAGCTGGGGTTATCAGTAGACACATGAACGTAAATAAAGGATCTACTTTCTACTTTTCTGGCAATTTCTTTCAAGTGTCTACATTTTGTTTGGAAGTGACATTTAAGCAAAGACATCAGAGTTAAGTATAGTGCCAATTTTTCATGAAATAAAATTTTGGAAAATTATCTCACATAAGCTTGGAAGATTAGTTAACTGTTACAAGTCACTTACTCTAGGAGGAATCTTCTGTGATAAGATCTGGTTAGTATCTGTGTATCATAGCTCTTTCAGCTGACCAACAGACTGGTAATCTGCAACTGATTAAAATTAATTTGTGACTTGGACGTATTATTTAACTTATGTGGACACTGAATGCATTGATCTTGTTGACAAGATGAATGAATTATAGTCTTTATTTCTCCCGTAACAGATATTGTATCCCGATGGTGCAATTATGGAACGAGGTACAGCTGTTGCAGAAGAATTAAGAAGAACTGAAAATCCAAACTTTTCACATGATGAACAGGAAATTAACGTCCATACAGAGACTGTGATTCCAAATGCATTGCAGGTTAATCCAGTCCACCCGCAAAAGACATCTGCTAAGAAAAAGAGTGCTAAAAAGAAAGCAGAAGAGAAAAAACGTAAGTTATTCTGTTTTATGCGAATTCATAATCAGTTAACACAATTCGAAGGTTATAAGTGAAATACTAGTAAGCAGTTAAGAATCATACTGTCAGAATGTTGCAGGCAGACACATTGAAATCTTGACAATGAATTTCATTCCAGCACTGTTCTCACTTTTACAAAATATACATGTATTTATATCAGCCTATGAGCCACAGTTAGAGATTTTCTAAATTCATACTACATAAGGTTCTCAAGTCACTACAGAATGGAGTGGTAAAGTAAAACTCACATTAGAATATGAATAACCTTGACACTGAAAGCCTAGGGTGACAATGTTCAGAATACAGAGAAACAGAATGGTATGCACCAATGAATAATTAGAAAACGTTCTGAATCACACATGGTGCACCTATGCTGTGTAAGGCTAATACAAGCATTCCAAATGACTGCTTTCCACGACCAACATGTACACTGTTCGCATTTTCTTTTCATATATTCAAGAGATTAGGTGCTATCAAAAAGGAATCCAATAGCAATTGTATTGTATGCATTTGACCATTGACATTTCGCAGCTATAACTTATAGATATGAATATAATTTCTCTTAATAATGAGGCAGCAGATATGGTGATTAACATATGAAACATGTCTCCATTTGAATTCTTAGTGGTCGACTGGCAAGAAATGGTGGATTTATGTTTTGCGTAAAACTGCATACAACTGATTGTCTGCGATGAGTAGTTGTCTAACACTCACACCAAGCAAAGGTACTTGCTAGCTAGACAGAGATGACCCTAGACACCTGATGGCAGTTTTGTTTGTTCGGGGAGAAGCTCTTCAGCAGTATATCCAGTTTGACTCAGCCGAATAAGTTCAAACCATCCGATTTATGGATAGATATTTGGGTGAACTGGTAGTTCCATAAATCGAATGGATAATTTACAGTTTATTTGCAACCTACACATCTCCAGGTGAAATTTTGCCACAGACTCTTTTAGAAACTGAAATTATTCAGATCACAATATATGATCTACTTGATACTACAAATGGTAATCAAGAAAGCAAGCACAAAGTGTGAAACTGTGTACTACTGACTGACTATGGTGAGTAGTTGGGTCGCACTCATATCAACCAGTACTGCTGGTTGAATTGTGGAAAGAGCTGGCTGCTAGCCAAAGTTGGTAGACAGTAATTTACGTCAATGTTTATGTCCCCAATATTGGTAGTGAGAAAAATGAGAACAAAGGTTTTGCGTAGGCGGATACAGTTAACTTTTTTTTTATTACAGCTTGATTCCACACTATATTTTTGGTACTAGTATGGAATTTTCAGTGTGTGATATCGGTAGTCCAAATTTCGCAGGTCGACCATAGATATCAGGTATGTGTCGGCAGGGGATCGAACCTCAGGCCATGTGCATGGTCGGCGACAGTCCTAACCACTGTGCCACCGATGCACATATATATGATGTGATATTCAAGAAACAGCCACAAAAAGATGCAAGGTTAACTTTCTGTGAGAAACAACAATCAGAGGACTGTGTTTGTTTGCTAACAATAATCCATAGTAATGTACATGAAAATCTATAAATATGTGTTGATTTCCTTAATAAACGATCTGTTGCCTGGCCCTTGTCTTCCGTTGTTACAGAATTACGGTTAAGTGAATATTTTGAATCAGTCTGATAAGTCCAGAAAATCAATGACGTTCACATGAATTTTAAAAGGTTCAGTAGTTCCGCCGATCAGGTTTTATACAATCTCTGAGTATGTTACACTTCTAAATCAATAATCAATTAGAGTAAAACTAATATCAGATGCATAAGAATATGGTATACTCAGTGGATGAAATACTGTCATTGTAACTAGTTATTTCTAGCTACCATAAATCATCATTTTATGAAAACATAAAGTGTTTTTATATGGCTATGGTAATAAACTCAGATAAAAGGGTAGTTTATTTGCAGTGCTAAACGAAGTGGACACCTTAAAGATAAGTAATGCTTTTATACATTTAGGTCATTTTTACTAACATAAAACAGTACATTACTGACTTGTTTTACCTAAATGAATGCCATAATAACATTTAATTCATGAAAGCCTTAAAGCGTTATTATAAACAGTATTTAAATTAAGGTTATCGGCTAAATGACAATGTTGATTTCTACCGACTTGATGTTTGTGTGCCTACTTTTCTAACTCCTTAAAACTCTTATATTTCTTCACAACTTTTACATAATTCAAGCGTTGGTTTGTGGGTATTGGGTTGGTTACAGGATTTCATCATGAGCTGACATTAGTTAGAGAACCATTGGAAAACCTGGGAGTACTGGATGGCTGTTTCGTCCTAGTTTGAGACTCTTCATCAGCACGCACCCATCGGGATTCGAACCCAGGACCTTCCGGTTACAAGACGAGCTCGTATGCCATTGAGCTACTGGGCCCCGATCCAATGGTCCTTGAATTTAACTTCTGCCAATTAACGGCATAGCACGACCACTAGCCAATGTCTTCGGCGAGTATTTGTCCTCACACCCGACCCGCTTTACATAATTCCAAAATTTCCTTCGTTTCTATGCACATCCTAATCAAAACCCATTCATTAAATTACTCATCTTTTTACGCAACCACAATACACTTATTTAGCTTCTCTTATGCATTGACTGAAACTGACAACACTAATCACCACCACCACTTTTTTGATTGGAAAGTAGTAAGTAACTAGTGTGATTATTCTAGTCCTATCTTTGGTGCAGACTGAATTTTTTAAGTCAAGTTTACAATGTGGCCAGCACTCTAGGTGACTCGCTATTAGGGTGCACTTTGAATTGTTGATATTAGGTGGTTGGAAGCAATCAGCAAGTCTTCCTGCCAGTTGCCTCTAACCCCCTAATACTAATAATCACCACTGCCTTCATACTTATCTTCATCCCCCTAGTTAAAATTTGATTATTCATCATATTTTTCGAAGTATTTTGATGACATAAGCAACCTCACTGATTTTTATTCTTGTCTGACAAAGCTAATGTACACAAACATACAAAAATAATCATATATAATCGCGATTGTACAGACAAGCGTTAATAAAGTCGCGGAAAAGAGACTCCTCGCTGAACGACGTGTTTCGTTTTTCATTAATGTCTGGATAGGGATTACTCATAAACTAAATAAGAATTATGTTATTTCATGCTTTATTTCCTAGCCATTTCGCAGCAAAACCCCTTCCCATACAAACCATTCATGCATGTTCTATTTTTTCTTAGCAGAAGATGATGTTCCTGCATTGGCTGCAACAGAAAATGCAGTGTTTGTAACTCCATCCAGTACGTCAAGGTCAACGGCTGATGATCCAGATGAGGATTTACCTTGGCTTGTTACTCTTTTGTCGGGTGAACGTTTTTGGTTCAAATTAGCAAAGTCTTGTCAACGTAATGAAAAGTCAATCGAGGATACACCAACTACAGATACATCAGCATTCAGGTCGCAAGAGTCAGTGACCTTAGATACGCCTAGTTCAAAACGTTCAGTTGATACACTCAAGTATGAAGTAATTTCTAGCAAATCAATAGAATCATTTCGAGCTCATGATCCTGCTACTGGTGAGACATTGTATACGCGACCTGAAGATGGAATGATTGCTGTAGAACCTCATCCAGACAGTCCATTTAAATTAATAATACAGCACTCTGATGGAACGCGGATAACACAACTCTTATTAATATGTGTGAGTTTTAGGTTTCTTCAACATTGAAAGTACTTATTTTATTTTAAAGTTATAATTACAGTGAGTCAGAAAAAACCGTTCACATCTTGAATGCTTCAGTAAATGCTGGAAATGAGAAACCAGTTACATATGCTGCCATCATGACTAATTTGAAAGTCAAAGTTACTTAAAAATTCCAAGTACAGACTGATGAATATTGTCATCAGCATATCTACATAAAATCTTTAATTGTAGGTTATTATTTCTTCATTATGTTCGGTATTAAATCTATCTGGTTTTAACTCTCAATTTAAATAAAACTGCAGACTGAAGAGTTTTAAATAAGAGAATTAATGACAGACTGTATTCTATTGATGATTCCGTTGTTGCAAGCATAATTCTGTGTTTGCTAAAGATGCCTTCATATACCTGGGTCTTGTAAGATCGATATCAACAGAAAAGTGAGGTCTGATGAGTTTACTGATAGTAAAAATAGCTTTATTCTGGAAAATGTTTGTAAAGTTAAACGAACTGATAATTATTTGAAGCCCGTGTAGCACATATTGAACGACATCGTCTGGGAGTACACAGTGGTTTAAAATAGCTACATAACACAGAATCAGCATCAAAACACTGCCCTTCTTTATGAATTTGAATGCAATAAAACAATAAGATAGTGCCACCACCTATTTCGTCTAATCATCATATGGTCACAATCTAAACAGCTAACTAATTTATGCACAGAGAAACTTCAACGTACCCACAAAAGTGACATGATTTCCAATTAACAGAATACTCTAAGACTAACAAACAGTGGTCAGAAATTTGACAGTCCAATCAGAAATCCATAAACCGAAGCTTCATGCGAATGAGGTCGTGAGTAAGTGCGCCTAAAGTTGATACAGAAGAGGATATATTGCCCTATAGGATTATCAATCAAGAATATGAGTAGTATTAGTTACTTCTTTAGAATATTCAGATATTATTTATTAAGAAGACAATTGCAGCGAAGAAAATTTTCTTTTCGACGAAGTCATCTAGGCTGTACATTCGTGTATTTTTATCAAATGGATAGGAAAGTTCCAGGATAATATCCGGTCAAGGATCAAATTAATAAAAATTAAAATTAGGAATTGACGCGTCGGTGGTATAGCGGTTAGGACTCCTGCCGACCATGCCCATGGTCCGGTGTTCGATCCCAGGCCGGCGCACTCCTTTACCTCGCTGAGCCACAAATAATGCTTGTAAAGAGGAAAGGTCGGACATGAAACCAGCAACCCTATCCTGTGGAATAAGCACTGCTACAGAAACTTCAAGTCACTGGCTTGAAGCCCTATGTTCCACTGGGAACGTGAAGGAAAAATTATTATTAAAATTAGGAATTAGAATGCCATAATAAACAGGGGGAACGATAAAACAAACAAAGTAGCATCATGATAGCTAAGAAGATTGACATTGTGCACTTAGGGGTTAGAAATGTAGAAATAACAAAATAGACAGGATGTTTGGATAAGAACTAGTGTGATGAATAATTGTTTATGCAATCAGGGATTAAATGTGTAGAAATAGTAAAATGACAAAATAAACACGAAGTTCGGGTATAAAAATATGGTAGTGTAAACAGGGATTAAGAAAAATTTAAAATTACAAGAATAAACAGGAAGTTTAGGTAAGAAAGGCGATGAGATTGTCATTACTAAAAAATTACCTGTTTATGATGGCCATGACGGGGACAGGGGTTGGACGTATTTCTTTTGGATACAAAGTGTGGGTTTGAGCTTTTGTATAGCTAGAGCTTCGACTATGCCCAGATGTCTTGATTTCACTCCCTTTGATAGGTTTGATTGAATCTTGTAAATTACCTTGAAGGATTTTTCGAAAGGTGCTGAATGTCCTGAATTGACCAGATGTTCTGTCACTGAACTGTATACACGCTTTCGGTCTCCTTTTACTAACCGGGCTGGATAATGTTCACGAGCGCATTTTTCAAGTCGGCGTACGGTACGGCCAACGTACTCAACTCCACAAGAGCAAGTAAACTGGTATATGCACGTTGAGGTGGCCCAGTGTGACAGCTTGTCTTTCGCGTTCTGGCTGAACAGTTTCTTGCAGGAAAACGTCAGTCGTAGGCTCGCAGTGAAGTATGTTTTCCTCAGCGATTTTGAGAGGCGTTTGCGAAGGATTTCTGCTTCAATATCACCTTTGAATCCTAGATTAAGCAGAAGTATTTTCTTTGGAACAGATTGGACTTGTTCGGAAGTCTTCTTACATTTGAGATTCTTGTCTATGAATCTTGGCGGGAAACCGTTTTCCATCAGGGTTTTTCGAAGATTACGCAGTTCTTCTTCAACCACTTCCTCGCTGCATATCTTCCTAATCCTTGAGGAAAGAGCGTATATCGCGTTCCTCTTTCTACTCAGGGGCACGAAGCTTTGAAAGTTGATGAATTGTCCATTCCATGTAGGCTTTTTGTATATGGACCTTTTCAGAGAATTGTCGGTGTTTCTTGTCAGATGGACGTCGAGGAAATGGAACATTCCGTCGGATTCATTCTCAAGTGTAAAGTCGATGTTTGAGTGGGCATTATTGAAGATTTGAAGTAGTTTTTCTACATCACAACTCTCATCACAAATAATGAAAGTATCATCGATGTATCTCTTGTAGAGATGGAGGTCGTTGATAGTCGGTGATAAGGCGTTGTTCTCTAAGCTAGCCATAACGCAATCGGCTAGGAGGGGTCCTAAGGGAGAACCCATTGCTACTTCATCTACTTGCCTGTATATTTCCTTGTTGAAACTGAAGTATACGTTGAAGGTTATTTATTGTATTTCTATAAGTCACGTATGCCCAAATTTTTTAGTCATCTAAACTAGAATTCTGAAAATCGTTATAGACTAGATTTGCAGTTTTTGTTTAGAATAAATTTTATTTCCAGTTTGTTTTCACTTAAAAAGTCCAAAACAGCATTAGCCCTCTATTTTTGAATAAATTCAATAAAATAATTTGGTAAATACGTAGAATTAACCCCCAATATCTCTCTGCCGAACAAATTCATTGTCATCTATCAATAAACCTTGAAAGGTGTAAGTGTAGGTTTATTTTTAACCGTCAGTCTCTGTAGAGTAATATAAGCGTTAGAGTTAGCGTCAGCAAATAGATTCAAAGGCTTGTAAGCCAGCAGAAATAAAGACAACTCACTGTGTTTGTATAAACTGAATATTTCAAAAAACAATGATTAAAAAGTGACTATGTTGAAAAAGATATCCGATACAAAATGCGGAGGCTTAGAAGCAGTTTCTTGAAATCATCTATACCACAATCATTATTTATTTTTATAGAACAAACTAACGTTTATCTAGATATTATTTTCGTTTTCTTTTTCATAGGATAATGAGAAAATGACTGATAAGCCGAATAATGAGCTTTCACACTCAAATTTAAACAAGCCACAAATATTTATTCGTGTAGAATGTGTTGGGTTCCCAGCTGTTGTTCTCAATAAGTCAACTGGAGAGTTTGAGATATCATTGTTTGGTAAAAGTCAGTTCTCATCAACATTTCATACCAATCCAAGAGGATATCATTTGTTACAGGTAATCAGTAATTGGTGCAAAATCATATGAAGTAAGAACATTTTAGGGGATTAAGATTTATTACTCAAATACCAAAAAGTTTGCTAAATTACAATAAAATTCTTAAAGCCTATTTGCTTTTGTCTCAAGATTTTAGTTGTGGAGTATAATACCTCACTGAACACAAGAAAATTGAATTATTTTGTAAGACAAACCTACTGAAAGGCTTGATTTTTAAATGAAAACATCAGACCACCTGTAAATACTTCAATACCACGATATCACGTTTTTACAGGTTGTTGAAAACTTTCCGATGAAGTATTATGACTGAAGCTGTTTAAACTTATTAAATGAGTTAGTCTAAGAGTGTTAAACTAAAGCGGTTTCACTGTTTATACGTAAGTAAACTGAAGCTGAGCTTAGCAAATTAAAGCAACGCCAACTCGTAATATCAATGGAAGTTTGTCTCATTTTCGTATGAAGGTGCAAACTGCTTTGTACCAGACATCTGAAATAGATGACACAATGGAATATACGATACATTTTGATTATTTTTACGTGCCACAAGTATTCTTTTGATTTCAAGTGTTTTATGATGAGAATGGCATTTTGATTTTTGTTTACTCTGTTAAAGTTAACTGACTAACAACTCTAATTGATATACTGTGAATACTTTCTAAAAGGAGTATAGAAATATATATTTCTACAGCTGTACGAATCAATTTGCCTAAAAGAGACACTTCACAAAACTGTTTGCTCTCCTATATCCAACTTATTTCGACTTGAAAACTTCATGTTCATAAACTATTAAAGGTCAACAAAAGACGAGGCAAGAGAAATGCAAGACTTATTTCAATTCACGATTTCTGTTGATTGGATTGCTAAAGTATTGTATTTCTATCCCGTAAAATATTGTTTTTTGCCTAATTCTTTTGATTTATGATACTGTTTCAATCTTACTTATCTCTTGTTTGCCTTATTTTGGCGTGCTGATGTAAAGTACTGCCACTCCCATTTATAAATCTAGTGCTTTTCAGTATGTCAAGACATGGAAAAGAACTGCAATTTCTAAGAGAGAGAGAGAGAGGGCAGTTTGAAAAGTGACAGATAACCAGAAGTGATTAATTTAAATTCTTAAATAGAATAATCCATTGTTTTCATCCAACTAACTTTTCATTTAGATATATTTCACTTGTTTTAGCATTTTAATGGAGGTCAGCTAAACGTCAATCCTGATAGTTCTGTTTATTATACAAGTCAATCACAGGAAATTATTGAATTAAATGAGCCAACTGTTTATGAAATGCATTATAATGACAATGAAAGTTTATTGGACTGCGTTGATCCACATAAAAATGTGTATACAGTTGACAATTGGGCAAACTGTAATGTTCTTTTGACTGGTAAGTGATAAAAATGGTAGGAGTATCCATCGTTTGCAGTGATATATTCACATAGTTATTATCACTTCTGTTATCTACTATAATTATTTGATATCAACGGAAATGGAATAAAAGTCTAAAAACTGAATGTTGAAAGTTGTATAGTTCAACTGGAATCTTTGTTATCACATGTGAAAACCTTATTATTATTATTGTCATCACTATTATTTTGAATGAAAACAGACTTCTGAAAAGAAAATATCAGCTTGGTAGTCACTAGGATTTGGTTTCACTAACCAGTGCTTTAACTTACAGTTTGAAGTGTAGACTAATTAATAGAATGTAAATAAGAAGTTTATTGTTTCAGTGAATGAGTCAAACACTATTTCTGTTCAGAAAAAAGATAGCATTAAGAAACAGCAAAGACTTGTTAGCCCAAGTTAATCGACTGAAAAGAGGGAACTAAACTTCACACTGCATCCAGTATGTATATTTTTGAAACATGATATAATGGAATTGTCACTAAACAACATGTCTCAATTTTCCATAACATCAAAGAATTGCTTTCTGTGTTCTTTGGATAAAAGACATGAAGCTTTCTATCTCTGTACTGGTAACTGAAGCTGCAAGTTTAAACTGAAATTCGAAAACCTTCAGTGTGACTATTACCAGAAAATTCTAATTAACTTTGGTTGAAAAGCCTTGGATCAATAGAAGTTTGCCCAGCTTCTACAGAAATACCAGGCAAAAGATTTCGGCGGCCAGTTTAAATCAATGGGCCACCTAAATTGCTTTCCACCAAAATGCTTAATTTCATCTGGAATTATCATTGTTTTAATCGTCCATTATATCATATTACTTAGACATGAACTTGCATTCTGATTTAACTTGTTTCCAAGTAAACGCTACGCAATTCTTCAACAAAATGAGGATATCCTTTCAATTGTTACCTTACATGTAAATTCTGTGTGAAGAAAAGTGTATTTCGGAACTAAATACGCTGAAAACTTTTGTACTTTATGTTAGCATATTGTCTGAAATAAAGCTTTATTATTATGTATTTACTAACTTCATTAAATCCCGCTTTTTATTTGAAAGCAGACACTATCTTTGAGTCCAAAATTATAAAGATGCCTCGATCATCCGACCATTTTAGGATACTGGTGAAATGCTTATGCGCCGAATACAGTACACTGACATTATTATTAATTAAAATAAACTTTCGAAAGAACATACCAAGAAACACCAACCGGATTTAAGCCAATTTGAATTTTCACTGGGTCGTGAATGAGTCAGTCATTAGTTCTGTATTCTTCGATCATTTGGTAGCATTTGGTTCCATGATACCTTCATTACGACAAGTTTGTTTCAATGTAGTACACATATAATTCACCTCACCATGGTAATATCGCAAATGACTTGATTTCATTTGGTGAATGTGGAGCAGAACGAAATTTCTACTTATTTTTCAAATCCTTGTGAAAAAAGGAAGTTACTTATATAACGAATGGAATAATTTGTAAAAAATTATATTTGTAAAATCTCAGCGATATTGAAATGAGTAATTCCAACGTTTCGTTCGGCAATCTGGTCCGAACTTCTCCAGGGAAATTAATCGAAATTAACATAACAGAGGCTTATATATAAAAGGAACATCTCTTATTTTTAAAAACTATGTCCAATCATCAGTCATAAAACAAGTAATAACAAGTATAATAAACAAAATTGTATGAGTTGTGATCAAAATTTGACCTCAGACCTACAAATATTGATCTACCTTTGTTAAGCACTTTAAACACAGTGTGTATGTGTGTGCGGATAAACAGTTGTAAAACAATGTCTTAACATCTCCACTGCCGAACGAAACGTTGGAATTACTCATTTCAATATCGCTGAGATTTCACAAATATAATTTTTTACAAATGTCTACTTCTCACTCGGCGCCCAAATATTTTAGAACTATTCTGTCAACTCTTGACTACAGTTCATCTGAATGGAATAATTGTCTGGAAAGCATCCTCTACGCGCCTCAATTGTTCATATTTCCTTGATTTTCAGCCCTGAAAATGATTTGAAGCAAAATATTTTCACTAACCAATGACAGTGCAAATATGTAGTGTTATCTCAATCGTTTGAGCCTGGTGAATAGAATTAATGGATTGTGCTTATATATTATGTCACTTGGTTGTATGGCTCAATTAGTTTCATAATCTGTCACTTTTACTTCACCGAGAATGAACTCAATTTTCTTTTATATTCCTCATATGAATAGTGCTGATTTAACTCACAGCTTTTACATATTAACTCAGATTTGTTTCTTAGATATGCATATTCTTCTAAAAATCTATGCTTATGAACTGAATGTTTATTGAAACAGACTAATCTGTGTAAAACACATGAAATAAGATTTTTAATTTTCAGTTTTAGTACTGAACTAAATCTTTACCAGTGCTAAGACATACTTTTAAATTAAAATAAAAGTTAGAAAATTTAAATCTTAAAAATAATTACCAATATAAAAACTTATGCAGTTGTTGACTAACTTGTTAGATGGATTATGTTCCTTGAGTTTCGAGTAAGCACAGGGATTTAAGCTTTGAAGTTCCAGTAACGGTGTTGTTTTTATAGGTCGAGGTTGTAAGCCTTCACGCTCAACCTTTTAAAATTTGCTAGTTTACTCCAGGTTAGGGAACCAGATAAGGTTTAGGAGTGCTTTGGTCGGGAATAGAACCAAGACATCTCAAGTGGTTGACAAGTAATCCACCGGTGAACGACTCAAATGCTAGATAGATTACTGAACTAATAAAGTGATATACTAAGGTAAGAGTTCATTCTATATTTTAGTGTCTCAAGGGGAAAGATGTGGTTAAAAAGTAAATAACTGAATACTACAAAGTAGTCATTGAGGGATTGAAAGGCATCTTAATGGCGTTCGCGTTACTTCGTTACACATTCCGTGGGTTAAATAGGTCACACCGATACTATTTTGAAAGAATTGATATATGTCAGAAAGCGACGGAATCACCGATATAATATCATAGTGTAATGACTTCCACTTTATTTTTATTTGTTTAAGTGAGAGGTAAAAGGCATCCACTAGAAGAACTCGATTTTGAACCAAATAAGGTCAATTCCACTGAATTAACGAGTGATAAAAGTGAGCAACAAGTTCAAGATCCACTGAAGTTAAATTCTTTGGGGAAAGAGAATGTTAACAGTGGTCAGACGAATGAACCAAAAACTGAAGAATCAACTAACAGATCTCGCTGCCTACATGACGAACATATACCACGATTATTTTATTACAATCCTGAAAAACATATAGTCAGTGAACTGCTGCACTTCAAAGGATTTGACTGTTTGCTTCAAAAAGCATACGGTATTCCGGCTCCTCATCACAATTTAGCCGCACTATCAATCCAAGAAAAACTGGCTTATATGAATATGAAAAAGCAAAAGTTAGTTTCATCAGACATCAAGTCTTCAAACGAGGCTCTGTTCTTGAAAGAAGCATTGCAGAGTAATCCAAAGGTAGGTTTAACATTCATTTATCAACACAGATGGCTTTTTTAATGATTCTCTTTGACGTCCAAGAAATTTATGTAGTGAACTGTATTACTGAGATCTGTTTTCAGTGATTACCAAGGTACTGGAGTAAATAAAGATAATTCTGTGCGATCATCTGCGAAATCTTTTGAGTTGTCGACAGTCAGGGGAGACTATTGTTGGTAATTCTTAAACATCAAGATAAGAGTCAGTAAACGTGCAGTTCTTGAAACTTTATGATCTGATCTTTATGTTTTTAACCAAATTCTTTTTTAAATACATGTTTTCCATCAATCTTTCAATCCATTTTTACATGATCTACTTGAATTTAACTGAATTTTCTGTTAGTCCCATTCTTGACCACGTTATCATAGTAATTAAGTACATCGTTACATTAGCCATTACTCTTGAAATTTAACTACAGTTGAATTGGTTACATTGTCAAACTTAGTACAAGCTGACTCACTGTAAACACAATCCACGAATTAGTTCACTTGCTCTGCCAAAATGTGTGGAAATGCTCGAAGCCTGTAAAGAGAAAATGCCATCATTGATTTATGGAGGAATCTGAACAGTTGTAATTGAGGGTGACATAAATAACATTGTAAGAATGATATTTATATGATAACTGATGACTGGGTAAAACATGCAAACTCAGATCACAGAATCAACAAACTCAACAGCAAATGAATGATTAGGATTAAGGCATAGATGAGATGAAATCTCTGAGTAGCTAGTATGGTGGGTTTAACAAGTAACTGACACTCCATCTATTCATATGAGAGCGGATGAAAACATTTTGTGACCATCATAGAATGACAACGTGATTAACAGTCGGGTGAATTCACTCAGTAAGTTGAGGGACGGACCAGTAAACTAGAGAACCCTGTTTCAAATCCTGTCACAACCCCATTTTACCCTACACCTTTGAGCAATGAGTCATGAATTAAGAATAGGCTTCCAACCAGAGTTACTTGTTACCTGATGGTTGCTATCATTTTTTACAGTGCAAAGTCGTTGAATGCAATTTTAAAGACATATCAACTGGATGTAATTATGTCAAAATATGTGGTATTCTTTTGGTATTCCCTTTTCTCCTCAATTCATATTGGCCTCTGAACAATGATTTCCCTTGTAATAATAAAGAGACCTACGGAAAAATAATTCATCTTAATCGTAGTTTTGATGACGGCAGTTGTGCGTCGGTGGCACAGTGGTTAGGACTCTCGCCGACCATGCACATGGTCAGGGGCTCGATCCCCTGCCGACGCACACCTGATATCCATGGTCGGCCTGCAAAATTTGGGCTACTGATATCACATGCTGAAAATTCCATACTTGTACCAAAAATACAGTTTGGAATCAAGCTGTAATAAAAAAAACCAAAATAAAATAAGTAAGACAGTATATCCAGTAAAAATAAAGCTGATTTTGAATAGCCGTAGCTTTTTGTGATCTCAGTTTCTGTTTAGGATATTTTATAAAAATGAATATTTGAATGATACAAACTTTTCTTCTTTCCATATCAATTTCATGAGCACGAATATCGTATGATATGCAAAGAAACGGTGTGCAGTAAACGTACTTAATATAGGTTGTCTTCAACTGTCAACCTGTTATTTTTTAAATACCCCTTTTCCAATATGAAAGTTTTGTCTCACTTTGAATAATATCTATGGTATATTTACTCTGTACTATTGTGTAAATTAACTCGCTGAATATAACGCACATAATCCCAATGCATCCTAATGAGCACAATTTACTAGACTTATACAGTTATTACTATTATATCATTGTTCCCACCCTGATCTACATTAGGTAGACAAATCTTACATAGAATCCAACTCTACCATAGTACTCAACCCAATTATTATTATTATTTATAGTAAAAATAGGTGAACAATGAACAATAAGGCATGTGAATAAGCTAGCCAGAAAAATAAATGTAAAGTCTACCAAAGAAAGTAACTACAGGTAGTTTGAAATATTGTGTAGAATAGTGAATAGCTCCGAATAAGAGTCTTTTCATGTCAGCCTATAAGACGAATTCATGATGACAAATAAAAATAGTAAAAACCCATTTAACTGTTAGAATTTTTAGTCAGCGGTAAGGTGTGAATACATTACCCACTAGTGACCGATCCCTACATGAATTACAGTGTTACAGAAAATCAACTGCTGACCAGAGAACTGGATGACACCGGTTCAAGGTAGGCATAAGCACGAAACTTACGTCGACGGTTTACTACCAATCGCCTCAAACTACATCTCAAAATGTAAAGCCCATAAGAAGCGACGTGGGCATGCTTTGTTCAGATCGCCTAAAATTGTATTTCTGATTGTCTGAATGTATCATGTGATGGATCTTTCGCTCTTATGTGACTCTCTGTCAGGAAACACTGCTATCAAATATCGTTCTTTTCTGACTTAAAATTTAGATTTACGGTCTAATATTGATGCAACCATTGACCACCAGTGATATGAGTAAATATTATGTTCAAGAAAATATTATTCCAGAAGGTTTAAGCAGTCATGATTTTCAATTACTAACACGCCCATCTAATTTGACAGTGAATTCAGATTTACCAAAATTCGGTGAAAGAGCTGGTAAAGGCTTGGACATTATTCAGCCTTCATTGGAACATCTTGGTTTAAAGATCCCGGAGACAAATGTCACTCTATTACCATTACAGAAAAGCAAGACACTCAACCGTCAAAGTCGAAAATTAATTAATTCTCATCAATCGCTTCATATGTATGTTCGACAGTTTACACAATATCCTATGATAACACCAGATATTACACAACGGTAAGTTTTTCAATGGACATTTTATGAATCTACTTTATTTAGAAAGTTGAATTATACATAGCAATGAGAAAAGGTACACTGAATGTCAAAGCCTTTGTTCTTTGCCAAATATACGAGGGGCTGAAGTGAATCTATGTACAAAAAAGGATGCAAAAGCTTTGCATCTATTAAAAATAGACAAAAATGTATCCATTTTATTTATAAGTACTTCACTAATATAAATGTGTTCATTTCAAATCGTAATACAACCTGTGATAGAATAATAAAAGTACTATCATCGACAGCTCAAAAATGTATTACTTTAAATAGGTGATATACTAAGCACCCAGTACTTCAGGTGAAACACATAGATATTTGTAGTGTCGTAAGACCAGTTTCATAGAATGGTTGTCTCAGTTTCTTAAATGAGACTTGTGAATTTGATGCAGTCCAAATACGAGCTTTGTAAAATAGCTGTGTCAAGTACCAACTGACTTAGTGATGAACCAGAAGTTAAGAGAAAAATGTTTTCCGAATTTTCCTTGTGACACTACAGTTACATTTTTCTAAATTCATCGTCTTTTTTCTTCAAGTATTTTAGGTGTATTATGTGCTTATACAGAACACTATCTGAATCGTTTAAATCAATGGTGTAAACAACAACCACTCAGACTATCGGAAGTAATGCAGCCAGAATGTGAATTATTTTTTAGTTCTACATCAACAGTTACAGATGTATTATCTGGAGATAAGCAGACTGCCAACCAGTTAGAAAGTGAAAATGCTGCAGACATATCCACTTCTCCAATACAACAAACAGTCAGCAATCAGGAAATTCGTCAGCGTAAGTGTCAAAGTAAAGTTCTCTCATTAAAAGTTTGATTAACAGACTAACTCTAGAAATACTAACCATGAGAATAATCTTGAGTCTACTAACATCTAAAATGTGCGAATTAAACAGTTGTTAGTTCAGTCGGATGGCATGAAGTAATGTATTTTAAAAAAAAAAACGCCTCTAGGATTTTATCATTAACCATAACTAAACTAACGGACGACAACTATGTATGTAATACTGATAGGAATGACGCAGAGGAAATTCTTTCCTTATTATTTGGATAACCACTAATCTTTTCCAGAGAGTCGATATGCTAATAATTTGCTCAAATTTCAAAGAAATGAGAGTAAACTCATTCTACTTAGTAAACTCAATGACTAATTAGGCAGAAATGCTTATTGAATTGAATTCTTTTTTTGATTTTCCCGTCGATTGATTGGACCGAAGTGCTCGGTCTCAGGTTGACATGTCGGCTTCTTGTGCAGATGCTTCGACGATGTCTGCACATTTAGTTAGTATACCATTGGTGGATGGTGGCTAGCAGTGGAATCCAGGATGCGCATTTCGTCCTATTTGGATCGATTGATTGGACCGAAGTGCTCGGTCTCACTGAGAAATGCAGGTACATCCAGCTGACGAGTCCCAAATAGGACGAAATGCGCATCCTGGATTCCACTGCTAGCCACCATCCACCAATGGTATACTAACTAAATGCCCAGACATCGTCGAAGCATCTGCACAAGAAGCCGACATGTCAACCTGAGACCGAGCACTTCGGTCCAATCAATCGACGGGAAAATCAAAAAAAAAATTCAATTCAATAATTAATATGACCCGTCGCACAAGAGGTGGCTCTCGTGGCCCAAGTGGTCTAGTGGATAACGCTTTGGCGTTTGAAACTATGGGTACTGGGTTCGAGCCTCAGTGGGAACATCATCACTCACTGAGAAATGCTTACTTTAAAACATGATATTCCAGTTTTTATCTTATAGTTCATTGATATTATAACCTACATATGTTATTCTTTTTGATGACCATATTGCGGAAGGTCATTTGAAGTAGCTATCCACCGATAGAATACACTGTTTTTTCTAAATTAGAACATAATTGAAAAACTTTCCAGATTTGTGAGTTGAATGACCGTTTTCAATTTTTCATCTGAGGGCAACAACCTTCACAAGCCATATGTTCAGTGATGTTAACCTATAAAAGAAAACATACACCATATAACTCTTTGTAACTCATGATGAACTGTCCCTTCGCTAATATGTTTCAGTTCAGTGGCAGATGTTTTTTTATAGTAGGTTGTAATATCTAAAAACATATCATTCACTGATTTGAAGTTGTGCCATCATATCTGTTATTTGGTGGGTATTACATACATCACGTTCATCCATCCATAACCCAGTCATTGAAAAGCGATTTAAACTGAAATATGACTTTGTTGGTAAGGAATCACACTAGGTTAGACAAAACATGTTATCAGTCCACGAGAACATTAACTGTTTTTTGCGTGAATAATGGTAGATTACGTAGACAACACAATCACGATCCTAATGGTTGGAGACCCTATAACATGACTCTTTCAGGATCCAAAAGCCTCGTCAATTTTAGTCAACTTATGCTTTTAATCAACCAAAGTTTGTGGATTGTTGTATGTGTTAATTAATGTTAAAATGTGAACCCACTTTATACAGGTCTTAGTTAATCCTAATCTTTCGAGAAAATCTTCAGCATTTTACTGGTTTTCTTACAGTTGTGAGTAACACAATATGCTGATTAATAGTATTCACTCACTATTGTTATTTTAGAAATTATCGCTTTTTTTACTGGAAAACTGTTTTGAGTTTTATTTGCTCTGCAATGATTTCAGTCAGTGGAAATAAAATCAATTTCCTACAATACCTCATTTTCTAGTGTTATTTATGTGTCATTTTATTACAAGTTACTTTCTGTATCCAGTGGGTTTGAAAGCTTTTTGTTTCTATACAGTAAAATGTACAAAGTGAGAAAACCGTCAGTTACGCTGTGCAAAATATATGATAAGGATTTCCACATAAGTGGATGGAGATGAAGTGACTTTGTGTCAATGAATACTACTGTTTGCAGTTGTCTAAAGAACGTTGTATAAATGAGTAAAGTAAATGCCATTTCATACTTTTCTGCCTACACACTTATGCGTCATTCACAAATAAGCAAGACATTAATTTTAAAAAAATCAACAAAATTCTTAGTATGGGTAAATTACATCATAGAGGGTTTATAATTTCTAAAGTCACTCAGCTTGTTCTTTCTACGTTATTTCTATTACTTCGTTTTCCTCTTTTCGTTGTCATTATAGATTATTATAACAAATTCTTAATGAGATTGTATTATTTGATTTGCGTTTTTAAATGTTAAAAACTTTCTGAGACAGTGACAAAACATATCATCAACGACGGTGATTATAACATAAATCACAACTAAACCGCTTGTCGGTAAGTCACGGAAAGTAAACAAGAATACTTTGGCTTCGTGGTATATCAAGCAAAAAAAAATTATGTTAATTTTCAAAGTTTAACCTATTCATTTAAGCCTTCACAGGATGTTGCCATAAAATTTTCAAAATATGCTCCAAATCTGTCATTCTTGTATACATCTACAAATGCGTAGTAATAAGTAAATTATTTTGCGAGTTACAGTGACAGTTAGCCCTGTAAAGCTATGACTGCTACAAGTTTTCCAAAATGCCAAGGCGAAAGATGACACGAAAGTTACTGAAATCGTCGTGTGAAAGACATATCATCACTCCCAAGTTTTAAGGATAATCGCTGAAATCCAAGTTAAAACTAGATGGTATGAAACACAATCAGTAACTGTAACTCAGACGCATTTTCCACCTGATTATATTTCACTTATTTCTTATGTTTAACAGTTTTCGTCAACTTAAGATTAAGTTTCTCATCTTTCCTAGTAAACGCTGAGTGTGACGAAGTGAACCAATCCACTGTTTTCAGACACTTTAACAATGGTTAGTTTATCTTGTAATGAATACATTTGCAGTGGATAAAAAATCAGTTAAGAGACTGAGGTTAGTCTGAATGTGATTATGAGCTTTTCATTATCCGATGTTTCTTCATTCCTTAGCTACCTTCCATATCTCACCTGCGAGACAAGCAGCATTCGAAGCATTACGTCAGGAGCTAGAAAAAGCTATGAGAGACAGAGCAGCATTGAGAAGTACTCATGTTCCCAATTATTTTCGATCTAAAGAAGGTATTGGCTTCCTTTTGTCACAGGTAGGTTCTGTAACACACATGTTCAAATGTAATAAATTACGAACTACGCCTCACCCTTGGTCGATATACACCGATAATTTTGCTTACAAGTTTTGTTTATTTATACTCGCTTTTCTAATAAAATAGCACCAATAATCCAAGATGTTAGAACTAAAATACAAATGTGGATACGGCTGAGCATCAGATTTTAAGTATATACAAACGCATGAATAATAGTTGTGCTTGTAACTGTATTAAGCTAGTGAATTAATATTCAGTGACATTTATAAATTTCGGGTTTTCGGAAATTTGAGTACATTTTTTCAAACCGTAAACAGACGTTAATTATTATCAATTCACGCTTCTGCTATTAAACAGTTCGTTCATACGTTGTTTCATAATTCTACAATTTATGGAGAAGAATACTGTAAATAAAATAGTAAAATAAACTGTAGTTATAGAAGGAAAGATACTCTACTCTAAACATAAACAACCAGAATTCAGTTAAAGTGTGATGATCATTAATTTGTCAGGTAATTCACCTCCTTCACTACAATTTTGAGTTTGTGCTTTCTATAAGTTTTAGCTGAAAAGTATTAAAGTGAATGTCCTCATGTTGAGATAAACATTTCATGAATGATAATTTTTATTGCTTTAGAAACTGCTTGCCACAAAATGACTAATTTATTCACTTAATTGATCGCTTAACTAAATTTTTATAAGCCTTTGATGTATATCTTCAGCAAACCATAGAAGGGTGAAACCGTTGGTGCAGAAGGTCTAATTCTGTTCAAAATCTCAACTCTAAGTACTGAATCATCGTCCTGTCAACTGTTTACCTGCTAGAGTGGTGTCGTCTCTCTCTCTCTAACTGGGCTTGTGAACTTGCTGGTATTACTGGGAATTGTTAGAAAGCTTTCTACATAGTCTGAACTGTTTAGTCAGAAAAATCTACTGCTTTGTCTGGATGTCCAATAGTCAAGTCATTATTGATGACTAGTTCTCTGACGATGTGTTGCTTAGTCAGAAGTCAGTAGTATTTCTCTGATGAATTCCTTCAGTTTCAGATATCAGGCGAAAACAGATAATTTGAAAGACAGCAGTTCTTCAGAGGGTCAATCGCAGACTGTTTAACTGAGCAACAAAGAGTTAGGCTGCACTGCTGAATGACAGGGATTCGAATCTCAAAGGGGACATCAGTTCCTTCAAAGTAGCAGTTACCTCTTGTTAATGACTTCTAACTGATGGACAACAACTTCAGAATGGGTGTTAGAAAACACCATTATTTCCTTTAAATAATTACATATCACTTTTGAGTAGTATAACGATTTAAAGGAACTGATTATCACTGATGGGATTCTTCCACTTCTCCCTGAAGTGACTAATTGAATGTTTTTCACTTTATTTATTTATTTTTGATTACAGCTTGATTCCACACTGTATTTTTGGTACAATTATGGAATTTTCAGCATGGATATCGGTAGCCCAAATTTAGTAGGTCAACCATAGATACCAGATGTGCCTCGGCAGGGGATCGAACCTCGGACCGTGTGCATGGTCGGCGAGAATACTAACCACTGTGCGGTTACCTCTGCCTATTACACATATTTAGTCAAAGTGATTCCATCATTACCATAGTTGTTGCGTTTATGATATTGCTTAAAATTACAAGTTTCAAGTTGTTTTCTAGTTCACCAAACGTTTACTTGAATTTTTTGTCTTTCCTTAGGTTCCTGACGTTAAAAAACTCGCTAAATTTGTTCCAGAATTCAATAATACAAATCAGAATGTCACAAAAACTGAGAAATCAAGTAAATAGCTCTTTGTCTCATTTATTTATATTTCCTAATTGATTGGAATGCCTTGTTTTATGTAAGTGAGATAGGTGTTACAAAATTGTTTATCTGGAGGTAAACTGTCATAATTGAACTTATAGCCATATGTATATGAGCCCTACCGTAAAACTTGAAGTTTGTTTTTGTTCACAGTCAAATCCTACATATCTATATTACTATTATTAAGTTTTGAATTATTTTTCCTTTAAGAACTGCATGCACCAGTAGGAATCCCACTCAGGATCCATGTAAGTGATTGGAATCCACATATCCAATGCTTAATCACCTTATGATGGTGATACAAGCCCCAGATACTTAGCTCTTTTTCAGTCAACCATATGAGAACTTATGGTGAAGTTTTTTTGAAGCAAACACTTTGTAACCATGCCATCGGAATGCTGGCAATAATTTTGACAGTTAAACTTAGAATTCTAAACAAAAGAATGTATTATCACTATTTAAATTCGTAAAGTGAAATATGTAGAAATGTGATTAATTGTTAGCAAATAACTATTATATGCAACAGTCTGCTTACCAGGTTAACCGTTCATATCCGTGTTTCATAAAATTTAAACACATACACTCGCTTTAATCACTACCACTTTCATATGCTGAACGCTTTTGTCTACCCTGTCGTATCAATTCTTTCTGCTGTTTACCGATAATGAGGACTTTAAAGGGTGAATTATTGAGAAATTTTCCAAATTTGTTCCTTCCTCTGTCTGTTTATTCAACTAGGATGAATGTGTTTTACTTACCTCGTTTATGATTAAGACACATTCAATCAATTTCTCATCACAATGACATAACCATCTGCATAAACAGGATATGCAGGGGTTTATTCCCAACTCAAATCAATCAAATGTCTGTAGGTTTATGTGTTAATGTAATTATGGAAGAAAGAAGCAGAGAGAAGAAGTAACAAAATCAGTAGCTTTATATTTAAGCATATAACTAGACACGGGTACAAAAAGTTAATGAGTTGGAAAAGAAGATAAAGTGTTGTTTTGATTTTCTTTATTAAATCGCGCTTCTTCTTCTTCGCGCTAATATTTAAAAGGTTTTCTTCATAAACTAGTCGTTTTATTTCCTTAATTTTAATTTGTTTATCATTTAGTCACTCATCAAAATGTATTCGTTTTTTAATTTCTATATGTACATATATATGCATATTTATTAAAAGCTTTAACAGAGCAATCTATTCCAACTTGTGATTCACCTCCGAGAATTGCCAGTCCGTTATTGAGAACATTAGAAACTGACAAGATGACGACAAATGAAACTGTAAGAAAAACTCACAAGTACAATACTGATCGATCGGTGATGAGTAAAGCGAACATAATTGACGAAAGCAGCAACTTCAGTAAACAAATAATGAATACTGTTTCAGATGCTGACATTAAGACAGCTTTAACAAGAACTTCTAAAAGGAATTGTTTCTACTATTATGATACTGATCCGACGGAGATTGAACTGTATAGTACGCGACAAAATTTGTCTGTTTGATTTGTTTTCTTGATATTTACCATAAATGTGTCCTTAACAATACTATTTTTGGATTTATTCCTTGTTAAAAGGCCTTAAAGCCGCGAAATATGCTACTATACTTTATAGCCACACAGTAAATGTGCTTCATTTTGGCCTCACAGATCAGCATAAAGTAGATGAATTCTAACAGGGTAAATAGTTTATATTTTTAAAGCATTCAATGGACGAGTAAATACCACTGATAATTTCAGAAGTATCTGGGTCTGAAAGATCGTTTTCTGCAACATCATTCTCGATTGCTGCAGTAATAAATGTGAACAAAATTATCATTTTCACGTGATAGTAGACAATATAAAGGATTTCTGTGAAACAATAATTCTTAGTGAGCCGTCTTTCAAAAGTAATACATAGCTAAACTTGGAATACTTTGCTCTGGTGAAATGATACTTGTTGTCCTAAATGCAGCTGTACAGAGATACATACCCTCTAGCGGATAATATTAGAACTCTTAAAGGAAGTCTCTGGAAGTTCAGTTATCACTACTTCAAATTCACTTTTAGCTACTTACAAACTCGCTGAATGGAATAGACTTTTGCACTGTAAACTATGAACAAACATATTCACTTGTCATAAATATATATTAGGTGAATATCATTTCTTCATACTGTGTTATTCCATTAGATATATTAAATATGGATTGATAGATAACTTGATAGGTATGAAGTAGTTTGTACAGCACTTAGTAAAGTTGAAATGTTACATTGTTAGTACATATAACTCTAAAGCCTTGGAAACTGAATGTCTGAAAACTGACTATCTTGGCTTTTGGAGATATTCAAGCTGGTCACTGCTCTAACCCATTAGCTAATACAATTGTCTAGTATTCCTTCACAGATGTCTGTAGAATTAAATTTATCAATTAATATACTATATAACTGAAATTTACTACAGCTTATCAAGAGATATTTCAAATTGCCTCACAACTACGTTTTCATTTTTATTCATCACTACAACTTACGATTTTTACATGTATTTTGATTTCATTTTATCCTGAAGACCACCATACCTCCGAAGTCCCTTTAGACTCTGTAGCTCTAGCTAGAGAAAAAGGATTCGAGTACCAAATATTTTGTACACCAAGCGCCCGAGTGTAAACAAATTTACTTATAATTCAGACATAAACATTCAACAGGCATTGGTTGAAGATCCTGTACGCCGACGAGTCCTGTTCACAAGTGTTATTGGCGGTCCTCCATACGGTCAGATTTCATTACGACGAATGCGCGGAATACGCTTAACACCAAATCGTATAAATGTTGGTACATTACAATATGGAGCAACGCGTAACTTTTCCGTGAAGTTAGTGAATTGGGGTCCTGAGACTGCACACTTTCGGATTAAACAGCTTCCTATTCATAGTGGCATACGTGTTTTCTATGCCCCAGGACCTATTCCTGCAGGTATGTTTATACATGTGGAAAAATCAGTGAACCTGTTTCTGAGTAAAATAATGATTAAGTGAACTGTCAGATATTGGTAACTTTATGTCCTCGTTTAAATAACGAAATAATGAATTATCAAATTTCAATTGTAGTGTGAGAATATGATACTGTTTCATACACTCAGTTATAATTTTTCTCCGATCATATCTTTATCAGCCAATTAATTAATTCCTAAAAGTTCAATCCAGTAGAAGTTAGTGAAACGTATTCACTACCTGTGATGTTGAAGTCATACAGCATTATTTAGAAAAGACTTGTTGATTTGCTTCTCGTAATTAAGTTTATCATGAATTCAGCTATATAACATTACAACTGACTGAATATTTTATGTTGAACTGTAAATAATAAGGAGGACAGGTAATGTTCACTTATGATTATTGCGAATATTAAATTAGCATTTCATTTGGAAATATTTTAAACTGCCTCTTACTTGCTCCTCAAGTTCAAGTCGACTGACAGTATGTTGGACACTTTCTGCAGACAATACACATCTTCAAATCTTAAATTTTACAGATTTTCTTCCTCTAACAATAATTTTAGCTTTCTATGCCTTCAATGTAATAAATTTCAAATAGTGTTGATTAATTACCTTGCCTAAGTGTTTTTCTCTTTTCCTCAGGATTATCTCGGCAGGTGGTAATAGAAGTGTCAAACCAAATTCAACGTCACTTGGAAGAGAATTCATCTGACCAGAATTATGACCACAATATCGATCAAAATGAGGCAAGTGAATTCAAGAAAACAACCAATCTTATATAAGATGGAGTTTCAGTGAAAAATCCTATCAGAGTTCTGAAGATAACGAAAATAATGACGATGGTAGCAACGGTAATGAGAATAAAGATGCTAATTCGAATACACGTGTTCAAACATTTTCAGAGCGTTTACAAATAATCACAGATACTCACATAATGTATCTGTTAATTACTGGATGTCGGGTTAAAATTATGAATTCAGAAGAATCTGCAGTCATTAATGTCAATGAGGAGGCAATCAAACCACAGTTGATTCCACTCTTAAGATCATAAAAATGAAACAGTTATGTGAAGCAAACGTAAAGAGTTGCATAGGAAAACTGGCTGATAAAACATTTTGTTAATCCATTAATCAAGTAATAATAAATTGAACTGAAATGAATTACAAATTTTGGTATATAAAAATAATTGAAACAGTATCAATGATGTAATAAGTAGAAAATTCTTGACCTGATAGTACAACGTAAGATGAGAATTCCATGTTTAGCAGATAAGTTCAGAAAAATTGTCTTCACGAACTGACATTGACAGAGACCGGTAGTGAAGCGATACTAAGAGGTTGATCATGAGATTTTATACATTTGGTTCCATTGATAAATTTCGATAAAGAAAGCAAGACGAAATTTGCAGTATAAAAATGATATCATTCTATTTCACAGGTTCTCATCAGCTGCAGACTACCTGAAATTACAATGGTTTTATAGATGATAATAACATACTTTAATGTTTGAGTGGTGGTACAGAAGAGATACTATAAAATTGACTCATCCAAAATGAAAGCATTACAATTTTTTTAGTTTAAGTTTTCATCATCAATTTATACGCTTTTAAAGTTGAAAAGAGGGGGGGTAAGACAGAAAAAAGAAAAATTGATTAACAGAACAGAGTTAGGTTGTAGATTCACATAGCAACTCAAAAAACAAAAGCGGTTACAGTTTATGAGATTAAGATTTGTTCAGTGAGTTGAGATCACTGAATTAGATGACTAATTAATGTAATCAAAATCAAAATTCTGTTACCAAGGGAGTGAGAGGTTAATCACACTCTCTTTCTGTATGCATAAGTCTGGTTTAAGTCGTTTGATTGCGATTGCTTCGGCAAATCGTAGTAAATTTGCTGTCCTTTGTCTATTTAATATTTTGAAGGACTTAGAAATCTCTAGAAGATGTCAAGTATCAACAATGTGTCTGGTAATTGCACTCTGGGAATATCTGCTTCCTTTCAGACACAGGTTTTTGAAATATGTTCAGAAAACCGGATAGAAGCCCTTCTTTCTGTCCTTTCATTGTACTTGCTCCCGCAAGTGCACGTGAATTCATAAACGCAGTTGGAGGTGACATCAGCAGGGTATTTATCCAGTTTTGAGTGGATTAAAGAAGGAGTGGTGCTGTATACTGTTATGAGTTTTGCTGCTGGGAAGCTTCTATTTATTGCACCTTTCAGTCTTTTGTCAATCTTTTGTGACACTGCATCTCCTTTGTATGGTAGACAGATAAACACTTTTTTCTTTTCTACAGTTGGATGCTTTTCTTTCTCATCTTTTTCTCTGCTGTACTTCTGAATAAATCCCTTAGGGTATCCATTTTCCCTTAGGCATTTCTCGACGAAATGTAATTCTTCTTCGACCCTGTTTGGTGAGCATAGCTTCCTGGCTCTGTCGTACAAAGTCCTCAGTAATCCACGTTTATAGCTTATGGGACAAAAGCTGTTATAGTGAAGATATTGCCCAGTCCAGGTTTCTTTTCTATAGATGGACTTTTCGACCGTGCCTTCGTTTGTTGTTTTTACATTTAGATCCAGGAAATTGAACTCATTATTATGTTCATATTTCATGGTGAATTTGATATTTGGATGGATCTCATTTAGGTGATCATATAATGCCGATGCGTGATCCATATCGTTACAAACAACATTGATAGCAGAACTTAGTTGTGTCTGCTCAAGGTAGCCCCTGAAGATATCAGCCAGGATAGGTTCCAGAGGCGAACCCATCGCGACCCCATCAATTTGTCGGTAAAGTTGATTGTTGAATTTGAATTGTATATCTTTTGTGCAGAGCAGTAGAAGTCGCTTCATCTCTGTTTCCGGTAATGGTAGTAGATCCGTTTGTTTACAAATGATATCAATTGTTTCCATCAGTTGTACGATTGTAAACAAGGAGGTCACGTCATACGATACCATGAGTTTGTCCGATATGTTGATATTGTCAAGTTCCTTGGAAAATTGATAACTATCCTTCAGGTTGTCGGTTGCAAATTTAACTCGAATTGGCTCTATAGAATCAGCTAACCATCGAGCTAGCTTGTGGCATGGTGAGTCAATCATTGACAGGACTGGTCTTAAAGGCACGTTTGCTTTATGAATTTTCGGTAGGCCGTACACAGACGGCAGGCGTCCACCTATTGACTTCGGTTTATTGTATGTTTCGTTGTTGATTAGTTTCTTCATTAGAAGTTCTTTGAGACATTTATTAACTTTATTTTCAAATGACGTTGTGGCATCTTTTTGTTGTCTACTTGGAATTTTTCTTTGTCGTTTAGAATTGTCGTCATTTTATGTATATAATCAGCTTTGTTCATTACAACAACCCCAGAGCCTTCATCAGGTCTAAATATGACGATTTCATCGTTTTCATATACTAAAATATTGTAATGCTTTCATTTTGGATGAGTCAGTTTTATAGTATCTCTTCTGTACCACCACTCAAACATTAAAGTATGTTATTATCATCTATAAAACCATTGTAATTTCAGGTAGTCTGCAGCTGATGAGAACCTGTGAAATAGAATGATATCATTTTTATACTGCAAATTTCATGAGATTTTACTTAATGGTATTCAGTCTATTCGTTTGTTTAACGGAATTAGTTTTCAGAGGTAAACATCTTCAGATTCTTCATGCATACCTAATGGACAATGGAAGCATGCATTACAGGTTTCGTAAATTCGACTTTAGATAAATTAATAAGAAGGGAGATATACTTCACTGATAGCAAATATTAAATAAAATAAAACTAAATCCAGGGTATAATTTTGATCAGTTTTGAATGAGCATGCATAACGTTTATTGAGATCTATAGAGAATTCTGCTTTCAGTGATTTAGTTTTACTACTATTGGTAACTGGCCTTTGTCGTGTGAGGGGATACTTCAGCTTTTCATTCGTGTGTTAAGCAACCTAAAAGTCTGAATGCATATATTTATTTAATTTACCGGATGATGTTGTGTATAGCGATCTGTCTTCCATTCTACAATCTGTTTAATAAAAGTAGTACAACTGATTTAATGAAATAAATCGGCAAAATTATCATACATAATTACCAATGGGAACACTGAAGCTTTTATTTAGTTTGATAATGAGCTACTACAAATATGTAGTGAATACGAAATCAACACCAAGTGGATTTAATTGAATAGATGTCGGGAACATAAAGAACATTCAAAGGTTGATTTGTAGGGACTCGATTGGTTACAGGATTTCATCATGAGTCAACATTGGTTAGAGAACCTTGGTGGGTGCTTACTGATGAAGAGTCCCAAACTAGGACGAAACGTCTGTCCAGTACTTCCAGGACTGCTGTCCATCCCAAGCAAAATACTAAGCCGCATCATACTGGAGAGAATCAAACAAGCCCTGGATGCAAAACTCCGAGCGGAACAAGCTGGATTCAGGAGAAGCATGTCATGTATTGATAAAATCGCTACTCTACGGATCATCATTGAACAAAGCTTAGAGTGACAGTCATCCCTCTATCTCAACTTCATCGACTTTGAAAAGGCCTCCGACAGCGTCGATCGAGAGGTGATTCGGCAACTACTTCGCTACTACGAGGTCCCATTGACAATTATACATCTCATCCAACAGTTATACGACAATGCTGCATTCCAAGTAATCCACAACGGGAAACTTACAGAAGCCTTCGAAGTGAGAACGGGAGTGAGGCAAGGCTGTCTATTATCGCCGATGATCTTCCTGATTGCAGTAGACTGGATAATGCGACAGACAACGGGCAATGAGGAAACACGCATAAAATGGACTCACACAAAACTTGGAGGATCTGGACTTCGTCGATGATATTTGCATGATTTTCCCCAAACTGGGAGATATGCAAGTGAAAAGCAACAAGCTGGTAGAAGAATCGTCCACAGAAGATAGGACTTCAGATGAACATAGATAACACAGAGGTGATGAAGATTCCTGGCCAACAGCAACAGCAGCAACAACAGACAACAATCATCCAGCATGAATGGGAGGAACCTGAAAGAAACAACCTCGTTTACCCACCTGGGAAGCATCCTTTCAACAACAGGCCAACGGAACTGACGAGAATATCAAAGCCAGAATCGAAAAGTAAGACAAGCTTTCACTAACCTTAAGTCTGTGTGGAGGTCAACATTACTCACTGTCGAAAATAAGATCCTGATTTTAAACTCTAATGTGAAGTCAGTGCTTCTATACGGATGACAGACTTGCACTGTGTGTCATTAAAAGCATCTCAAACAAACTTCAGACCTTTATTCACAGTTGTCTTCGCTCAATACTGAAGATCAGATGGCCGGCCAGAAACGATCAAACACAGGGATCTCTGGCAATGAGCGAACCAACACAGCAGGAACCGATTGTGAAACAAATAAGCAGAAAGAAATGGAGATGGATTGGCTGGCCATACTCTGAGGAAACCATCAAGTGACATCACTAGACAAGCTGTCGAATGGAAACCGAAAGGGAAGTGGCGAGTTGGTCGTCAGTGCAAGGGTGACTTGGAGGAGGTCATGCGAGGAGGAGATGAAAGCATGTGGGCAGACTTGGAGTGGGGTGAAAAAGTTCGCAGAAAACAGAAGGCAAAAGAGATGCGCAGCTGAAGCCCTATGTTCCTCTAGGAATTAAAGGATATAATAATAATCAATAATAATATGTTGATAGTAGAGAGCTGCAATCTATCGATATTATAGATCCGATGTTATTTAAACCCTAATGGTGTTAATAACACTAATTCGTTTACTAT